CCGACATTTTCCCTCGTCTTCACACTCATTCGGGCTTACACTTGGGTACCTGAGTCATGGCCAAACACGCACTGTCGGAAAAAAACAAGAAGCGACAGAAGAGCGCGAAGAAGCAGGCTGCTTTCGAGGCCGCCAAGGCCGCCTTCCTTGTCCTCGAAACTGCTAGTCCCGAAGCACCGGTGTCTGAGAAGAAGACGTGGATCGGGAAGCTTGCCAAGACGCATCAAGTGAACCTGTGGGCAATTAGTGTTCGTGATGTATGACGAGTTGTATTGAGATGTGTGAATTTCTAGGGTCACCCTTGGGAAAATGGCTCTCGACCCAGAGCATGTGCCAATCTGGGAGTTCAACCGCGACACCAAGGGCAAGCTACCCAAGGCTATGGAGGACGACTACGTCTGGTTTCTGCAGGAGATGAACGATCGGGGGCTAGGCCGGAACCATAAAAAGGTGTGCACGGACCTACTATCCAGTTCCCCCGATCACCAAGATTAATTCACATGTTAGATTCAAAGCGACGTCAATGAGCTCATTGCGAGCCTTCCCGAAGATGAACAGAATGGACTTGTTACAAAATCATGGGTCAAGCGGTTTCTAGACCGTCGCCGCAGCGACTTGCGATCATATTGGTCGTCGCCTCTAGCTTCCGAGCGTGCCCAGGCTGTCAACCCCACAAATATGAAGTTGTTCTTTGAGCTTGTACACAAGCATGTGGTTATCCCCCAGCTTCCACCCGAGTGTGTGTGGGGCATGGATGAGACTAATTCGCAGGACGCAGATGGGGTTCAGGAGAAGGTTGTCGGACGTGCAGGGATGAAGCAGGTACACAAGCAGGGTGGCGGGAATAAGGATAGCACGACCGTGATCGCAGCAATCGGAGCTGATGGCACGGCATTGCCGCCGACTGTCATTTTCAAAGGGAAAGGACTACAGACTTCGTGGGTCAAAGATAATGTAGCAGGAGCATCGTGCGTAGTTCTCATAGCTAACACTCACTCTGGCTAACTTATACTAGTGTCGCATGTACCGAGAACGGATGGATTGACTCTACGATGGGGGTCTCCTGGCTCACACAAGATTTCGATCCTGCCACGCGCGAGCGAGCTGCGGGTCGTCCACGAGTTCTGTTCCTTGATGGGCACAGCTCGCACTGGTGTACGAAATTCCTCCGAGCTGCCCGGGATAGAAACATATATTGTTTGGGCTACCCTCCTCATAGCACCCATGCTATACAGGGGTTGGACGTTGTTGCTTTCGGCCCCCTGAAAACCGCTCTCGCAGCCGAATGTGCCGAACTTGCCGAAGAGGGCACAAAGTTATCGAAGACGAACTTCCTTAGAGTCTTTGGCAAAGTCTGGCTCGAAGCTATGACTCCAGACCTCTGCCGAGCAGCTTTTGCGAAGACAGGAATTGTTCCATACAATCCCGATGTCATAACTCCTGCACAGATGAAACCTAGTGCTGCGACGTCGACAACTGAGAACTGTGCGACGATTATCTCTAGCCCTGTTCGGGCGATCATGTCCGCACTCACTTGCGTGCTTCCCGATCTCACTAGAGTCGATCTGGATCTTGACGACGATGTCGATCTCTCTGTTCCAGCAACACCAACACGGACCCACTCCGAGCATCAGACTCCTCGAACTCCCCGCGTGGATCTTCGCAGAGTACATGCTATTGATCCCGTACTACACTGCCGGACGCTTTTGACCCTGAGGCAAGGTTGGCAGTTAGGTACCTTGCCGCAGGGTTCCCATTGGGTTCCTATAAGGCGTCACCACGGAGATTGTGATGGAGTTGATGTTGAGGACCACGGGGATATCGCGTCCGGGACATCACCATGACGGCGGCGGAAGCCTTCGCAGAAGGTCGCTGCCATGCCTGTACTGATGGCGAGGACCTCGACTTTGTCGGGAGGTCGCCAGGCGCATCTTGTCAGATACCTGGGGGAACATTGCGGAGACCTTGCTCAGACACTGCGATGGGAACAGGATAAACGCTGCAAGCCCAGCGCGGCCGCGGTTCGCAGCCGATTTAAATGACTGAATAATTTCCATAATGCACGACAGGCAGGTGGATGGATTCCATGACATTATATTAAGATACAAGTATAGTCTAATGTAATGATAACGTGGCTGCAGCGATCAATCTACCAGACGAGGGCCATCTCGAGATCTTCTTGCCAGCGCGGGGGGTGACCCAGCTGCGAGGGGTTGGTCTTCTCGCCGCGATACTTTTCACGGTCCTTGTCGAGTGCATCTTCGTAGAACCTGAGCTGGTAATTAGCGCGTATTGGGGGAGCTACGATAAAAGGGGACGTACGCGCGCAGAGTCTTCGCACGGTCCTGGAAGGGTACATTCGCAACAAGGTGCTCGCGAAGCTCTTGAAGTTGCCAATCAACATAGTTGAAGAATTCCGTGTCGCGGAAGCGCCGCGACGAGGAACTGCCTTCGGCTGTCGTGTCTTCAGCATCATCGCCTGTGGTGATAGGCTCGGCGGAATCCTCTTGCTCGCTAGCACCCGCGGAAGGACGCCGCATGTCAGCGGGACGCATCTTGAAGTCCAAATAGGCAGCCCTCTGCACTGATGTCAGGATGATGACGATGATGATCGATGGATTGCAACGTACCAGGAAAGCAAGGCGGCCTAGATGTACTTCACCGACGTGAGCGATCTTCGGCGCGAGACTGGTAGCCAACTTGTCGATGGAGTGTTTGGCGGCCTGGGAACCACTGCTACGCGGCACCGACTCGTAGTCATCGAACTGGGGATGTGCCTGATGAGCGGGCTGAAGCGTCGCATTGGGATATAGCCTTACCCGCTGTTTCATGCGACTGCGTTGCGAACCTAAAGCGTTCGACAGCATATGGCAAAGCTCGCCGAAGAGCTCATGGTCCTTGACGAGCGATTCGGGAACATTGAAGGCGTCGGGATGCACCTTCGCGTAGTTCTGAACGATGTCAGCTTCGGGTCAAGTGCGAGATGATGGAGGCGTACGCAGACATGTTCGTACAGGTCTGTGACCAGAGCCGTCAGGTTTGGCGACATAAGGATGATCATAGCACGCCCTTCGAGCATTTTCTGTATGGCTCGTATGAGAGTGTGTACAAAGAGCGTGTCAATGAGGACATACCTTCGTGGCGGAGTTGCGAAGCTGCAGTATGTTGCTCAGCTTCTGGCGCTCTTGGTCGCTCTTGAGGAGATGTGCCTTGAGGTCGAGGAACTTGGCGTCAGAACCGAGCTGTCCAATTTGAGCTCCGAGTTTAATAAGCACGAGATGAGACGACGCACCTCGACAAAGTCACTCAGCGCATCGCGTGGCAACTCATGGCGAGCACAAATCACTACCGCAGCTGAACGGGCAACCTTGGTCGAGCGTGGCGTATAAGAATGGTCATCGAGGTCGCTGAAGGGGCGGCGATGAAGGGCGGGACGAGGAGGGGAGTTGAATGGGACGATGGTGGTCGTGTTCAAGTTGGAAGGCGTGGCCGGGCGTTGCGCTGGCGATCCGGCCGGCGACCCGGAGTGAGAAGTGTTCGGCTCCGGCGTCACGGCTTGCCGCTGAGCAGCCTGCTGTCCTTCGCGGAAACGGCTGAAGACGCTGCTCATGACGAAGGGTCAAGAGGTGCTAAAGGACGTACCATAATATCGCACCTATTTATGTGCGATGTGCCGGCGAACATGTTCCGGGTTCTTTTGAAATAATGTGGTGTCCTCGCGTGTCAGTTTATTGGTTGCAATGCTGCGGGATGTGCATCTCGCACCTTGAATGGGGATGAGACTTTCAGGCGGGTGATGCTCTCCAACTCGTCGTGATTGGCGAGCTCCACGATGGAGGACACCGAGCTTTTGGGGAGGGTGCAGGTGGTGTCGAAGGCCAAGAGCGCGACGCAGTTGGGAGGTAAGGCCGATGGCTCTGTGTGAATGGGGCAGGTTAAATTAGAAGCCCAGTCTCGTAAATGTACGTTCACAGCCCCGCTCCATACGTTGCAGGAGGATATAATCCGGCGGAGGATCGCCAGACACGATCCAATCAATCACCCATGTCTTCGAAGTCTTCGCCGTCTGACCCTCCCGCGTCGCTCGAGCTTATCGCCGGCAATCGACTACAAGTCAAGATACTGGACCTTCGGGTCGAGCATGTCGATATCATAGGCGACTCGTCCAACAAGGTGCTGGTATGTGTGCAAGGGATATGACTGTTGGGTATGGCGTTGACTGTGTATTCCAGTCATCCAGCCAGATCCTGTTCGAAGGCTCGAATGAGTGGATCGGGTACGATCGCCGCTATGGCTCGCAGACTCAAGACGAGATGGCAGCGCACCAGCCGGACGAGTACTCTCAGGATGGTTACTCGCAGAAGCACTACTACCGTGGCTCGGGCACGACTCAGCCATCGGTTGATCGTACTACATCGCCAACAATCGACGATAGCTGCATCCAACTGCAGGCGGAGTTGATCAACCACCTCAGCGAGTTCTTTGCAGACAGACGGCGGCGCATTCCAGTCAAACTCGCGCGTGCAGCGCTGGAGGTACGGCCTGAGGGACGTTCGGAGTAAAAGGTAGTCGATGTTGTATAAGCCGGCGGATTTACAATCATACACCCTACAACTTTGTTATCTCTTGAACCATACATTCTGAATCGGTACTGTATATGCGTACCGGGTGCCCATTCCCATGAACGAAGTGCGTGTGACCGCGATTTCGACCTTTGCAGCGTGTGTTCTGCGGCTCTATCATGCGAGGCGGGAGGTCTTAATCTCCGTTTGTTCGGTCAAGCATATACCGGCAGAATACATGCATGGTGGCGCCAACGGAACGAGTTGCACGGCAGAATGACATCCACTGCGATGCGCGCGAGATGCCATGGTGGACGTGAAGTTCAGGTTCAAGTCGCGCCGCGGGCGGCAGCGGCGCGCACTGCCGCGGGTGCGAGCATTCCCCGCGTCCTGATTCTACAACTTGACCGAAAACCCTCATCATCATTCCCAATACTATTCCATGATATCCCTCTATGCTCGCGCACACCACATAGGAATTTCCGGCCTGAAAGATCTGTACTACGAGGGTTATACATGCACAACACTTCGGCCTATCCGCTCCCCACCTTCCCGGCACTGCAACACGCCGGGGCGACTACGGCAGTTGGAATCGACAACCATCAGGCCAGGCGCACTCAGTAATATGGGTTGAGTTATGGATGCACAGCGAGTTGTGGATCGGGCTTGAAGGCTTCAATGGCTTTTCGCAATAACTCAATACGCGCCGACTTGTCTCCTCGCGCCGACTTCGCGGCAGGGATAAATGTCCCATTGCCACGCAGACGATGCCATTCTAACTGCTCGTCGAGCGCCGGAACTGTGAGAGCACTCGGTCCTCTTGCGGGCCCTGCCAGTCGCTGATCGAGCTCGTGCAGGGTCTCAATGCCGATAACATGGGCAATGGACTCAAGCTCGGCGTCGGTGTCGCGCTTTCTCTTTTTTTGACCCTGGCAGAGGAGTCAGAGGTTAATCGCGTCAAATGTACGACTACACTTACAGCCGTATTCTGCGCTGACTTCTTACTCCGCACAGGTATGCGATCGAACAATGGTTCGAGAGTTGGATCGCCTGAATTCTCCTCCACGACAACCTCGCCGCTGTCCACTGCCTTGTTCTTCTTCCGCCGTGTTGCAGTGACCATGTGCTGTATGGCATCGAGGATGATAGGCTCCCGCTCAGGGGCGTAATTAGGCTTCCGCAATAAGTGAGAAGGTGTCGCGTGCATGATGAGCCGATGATTGTGTATGGAATGACAGTTCAGAACGACGAAGTCGTGGTTTTTGTGCACGAGGACTTGTCTTGTCTTCCCCATGGTCTGGTACTCCTGTGGAACTGAGATGTCGCGGGTTGCCGAGTTGCAGCCACCGCGTTCACAGTCGTGTTGGACATTCACGATACAGCGGATGGCCTGTACATGCAATGAGCACATGAGCCGTTTGCAGTGCTGGATACGTACATCTAGATTGACGATTCCCTTCTCGGATGTCAGTTCCATGCAGGGTAAGTCGAGTTTGGGATGAAGCACGTCTAGAAAGCGATAATACTGGACAGTTACGAGCGATGTCAAATGGCGTTGCACCGCTTTGCTCAGGAGTTCAACGATTTTGACAAAGCGCAGGCGAGCATTGTGAGGCTGTAACATTATAAAGCTCTATGTCTTGAGAGAAGCCCGCGCCGGTGGACGTACCTCAGATGCAGAGTCTATGATAGCTGTTGACTCCGGTCGCACAATGTCCCCGCCATTGACTCGCACAGCCGATCCCTTGTAGAATAGCTCTCCTGGTTGTGTGAGAGGCCCTATATCATCAGATCGAGAGACACCTATCCAGACGATTAGTCTTGGACGGGGCACCACATGCACCACTCACCTGATGCTACCGTTTTGCTCCATGGAATCGGAGAAGGCAATGGTTTGGATGCTGCAGATCCATCAGCCGAACGATGTTCGGACTGGAGCAGGCGCATGTCGCCTGCGAGGCAAACCGATTAGGACATATAGCGTACACGCGTACACAGTGAAGGGCATGACATACCAGCACAATTGCCATTCTCATGTCGACGAGGGATATTCAAGAGATCACGGATCTTCGGGTGCTGGTCAAGATATCCAGCGACGTTGGGACCGGCATGCACCCATCCACCTCGGTCTGTTGCACGATCATCTTTCCAGAACCCTCCGGAGAGGATGTGCTTCATATTGTCGAACGACGCGAATGCTCGACATGAATCACGGCTCGGGGCTCGACGATTGCTGAAGATACATGTGAGGCGGAATATACGGTTGAAGGACTCGTATCGCTCAGTGGAAAAGAGGATTGCCGGCCCAAAGCGACGGATGAACATGGGAAGATGTACAAGAAAATGAAACTTGGGTTTCGTGATCAATATTGACGGCGAGCATTGAGCAGACAAGTTGAGGAAGTCGTCGATCGTTCGCGACAACTCAGCCTGTGTGTGTTATCAGTACACACTTCGCGACTGAGTGCAGGAGCATGATCCACGCACAAGATAGACCTCCTTGTCATCGATCGCAGTGTGCCAAAGAAGCACTACCAGATTACCGATTACATTCCATGCATGAAGGAGCTTGTCGTCGACAAGATCACATATCAAGAAAGGCATGACCTGTGCAAGGCTCTTCATGTGCTTCCCGATAAGGCTGCCGCTGAACTGACAGAGATAATCAGCAGACAAGTGAAGAGGTAAGTTCAAGCCATCGTCGCAGAGTGAATGCAAACGGGCTCTGAAGAGCGCGAGCTCCGCCGTATTCGATGCCTTCTTGAGGATAAACATGGTTTGTCCCCAAAAGTACTTGACTACACCAAGGAGAATGGTGTGCAATATCTCCGTGGGTGTATCTCTGTGCACATCAAATCCTTCGGTCATGTTAGAGTGTGAAGGTTGAATCAGTCAGGGATACACTTACCGACGATCCCAAGCAGCGGGTTGATCTCGTCGTCGATGATCTTCCTCTCAAGCTCGCGTGCAAGCCGCTCTTCGATATCTTCTCTCGATAAGTCACCACTGGTACTCTCAACGCCTTTCGGACCTCCACTTCCACCTCGATCAGCCCCTTGTTCTTCCCTATCACTCTCACTCATCCCCTCATCCCTATCCTTCCCCTCATCCCTGCCTCTGACCTCTCGCTCGCTATCGTCCGACGCTTCAGAACCCTTATCATCTTCTGCGATATCCGCCTCAGAGGCTGAGTCGGCGCCTGGTGCACCAGGTCCGAGTGTTTCCATCACCGTGGCCTGCTTCTTCGTGTTTGTCCTGCTGGAAGAACCCAACAAGTCACGACCCAGCTTGAGTAGACGGGTGCCCAGGGCATCCGATGCAGCATCGTGTACACCTGTAGCTTCAACAGCACGCTTGATTGACGCTCTTCCACCAACCCGTGTGGCATGATTCAGTTGACGAAGAACTTCAGCCCGTGTCTCCTCAGGCGAGCGCAAGTTGCCCTCCTGTAAGGATGTCAATCAGCTTGGATGTACTATGAGTATGAGAGACATAGGGACCTTCAGGAGATCAGCATAGCCTTGGGCCGTGCGCTTATGAGCATTCGTTCCCCCAGTATCACAAGTTCGACAGGGTCGATTGCACCGAAGGCCGCCATGACTTGAGAGTTCGGCGAGCATGGGATTATCGCCGGCCTTACAAAGAAGGTACGGAAAGAGAAGGACCTCTTCGTCGTACTTGCAATCGTATGCAACAACCCCTTCACGGCTAGACTCTCTGAGGCAACATGAGCATATGATCATGACGAAGAGACGGTATGAACATACTCGAGTGACATCTTTACAGCATTGGCGATTTCTGTCGGAGAGGCGGTCGGAGACGATGATACAAAGTGAATGTTGAAAGCCTTGTCTAGCATTTCTCGTGGTAGAAGGGCATTGGAGGCGTATGCAACGTGGTTTTTATTCCACTGCTTTGAGATGTTCGCCGAGACATCATCGATGAAGGATATAATGGGTACTGTATAAACCATCCGCTTTCCGGCGAGCTTACGCATTCGGTGTGGCATATGGACGGCGTAACGAGTAGATTGTGCTGTGAATGTCATAAGTAGGCATACAATGAAGAGTGGGATGAACACTATCTTACGAGCAAAGGTCGGCGATGCGTTTTCAGGAAGCTTGGCACACAGATCCTCAATGGTATCTACAAAGGAGGATGTCTCGTAAAAGACACGCTCGCGCTCATCATGTACGACGTAGCCCATCTGTGTATGCGCGCGATCAGCATTCGTCATCATAGATTCAGAGTGATCACTAACATCTGTCAGGGTAACTTCCCAGCCTAGTGCATATATCTCCCAAGTCCGTGGGTCGCTGTCGGCAGGATGCTCTTCTGGCGATGCATGGAAGAATCGCTCGGGAATACAATACGACCCGCCCGCGAGTCTTACAAGTTCTCCTACATAGAATGTCTTCCCCATCACCTTTACGCATGGCTGCGTATGCTCGTGGGAGCCGTGAAGTAGCTTATCGGCGTCATGCACCTGCGACAAGGCCTTTCCGCGGTCGACCGAATACTCGATCATGGACTGACGCACAATAGGATTTGCGAAATCCTGTATTGATGTTGATTTAGTAGACGCCGGCATGACAGAGACAAGGACGGACTTTGGCAATAGCATGATCGAGCCCATTGCGGTACAGCACTGACCCTGTCTGAGCGCACGGAACCTGCTCTGTCGGCATCCCCAACAAGCTCTGGATCTGCTTCTCGCATCGATCCAAAGCATGCATCGTCGGCACATTAACAGCACCCATTGCATCGCCCCAATCCAAGATCGCGCGCTTCTGGGCTTCCGAGAACCGTACATGAGATGAACTGAATAGTGCTTGGGTAAGAAATACCTGAGCAGCGACGTCAATACAGAAACATGCACCGCACAGCTTGTCGCCTCACCGCTTTGGAAGGGAAGGGGTACGACTTGCTGCCCGGAAGTGGCAAAGTTGACTTCGTATTGCCACCATCTTCATGGCGCGTATCTACAGAATGAGGGGACATTGTTGAGCTAGAGCCATGGCGAGCATGATGCGGGTATCATGTACCGGATTGCAGCATCTGTCTGTCCAGTTCTGCGTATTCGTCCTCACCGAGAGCTTCAGACGAGTCTTCAACAACACGATACTCATAAGCACCAATACTCCCGGTGTTCAACTGCACGGGCTCGCTACTGCCAGACAAGCCAGTCCAGAGCGACGAAAACCGGTAAAGATTCTCCTCCGAGCTGCCTGAGTCGCGGAGGCCATCCCTAAGGATAGGAAATATCTCATTCGACAAGACGGCGCCGTGCTCTGCACCGCGCTGATCGCCCTCGGTATCATAACCAGCATCCCGCGATGAGCCTTCGAGAGTTGATGATGATGGCTGCTCCACGATAGCAGCGGAACCAGCAGAGTCATGCTCAGGCATATCGTAGGATCTGACGGTACTCTAAGCAAACTTGAAATATGTACCACAATATCATTTACCGTCCACCATCGTGGTCATCGAGATTAACAGGAGTGGAACTGGATGGATAGTGCGTATCGGAGCGGGATGGTATTGCTGCATGGGGCCAAGATAATGTTTCGGAGATGATTGGCGCGAAACCAGTACGTTCACGGCTTCTCATTCGGTCTACTGCGGCTATGTGGGCGTCGCGCATAACATGCCGATTCCTTTCTTTTGCCTCGAAATACGAAGAGCACGCGACGCAGTGGATTCGTTTACTGTTGGGTTCTTGTTGTAGGTCTGGTATCGGAGGTTAGGCTCGAGCCGGTATAGCACGCATGTACTACCTACAATCCATGACCACGCCCTTCTTCGCATGTAGATCTTGAACGTGGACGTCAAGAGCAAAGTGTGAAGATGTGCGCGCGCGCCGCGAGTTCTGCGCGTTTCGCTGATGCTCCGCGTGGACGTCATTCGCGCCCGCGTCATAGTTGCCACTCCCTACCGGCACTCCTCAACGTTCAACCATCTCACAGTACTGTACGCTTTTCCGCGAAGACATGTTACACCTCGGCCATTCCTTGTCGGTACAGCTAGCTATTTGTTGTTCTTATACGCTCGCAGTCCCTCTAAGTATGCCCTCACCGATATTTGCTGTGCTCTCAATTACCTCGCGATCGGAGTTATGCTGAATCAGTAGCTGTATTGCTAGCACTAATATGACATGTACTATGAGTAGTGAGCCAGTATGATGCTACTGGAAAGGATCGAGAGCGAGCGCGCGTCTCTTGGAAAGCCTGCTCGGCTGTTCCCGGCGCAATTCTCGGAGGCTGCCTTTCCACCCTCAGGCCGATGACTCCGCAACCTTCGCTCAGGGTGGCGGGCGACCTCACGCCAGGTGTTGCGGCACTCCTTGAGCGAAGCAATCAAGGCGGGCCTTCGATCAAGGTCTCCAGAAATGGTCCTGGCAACGACGACTGCGCCTCGCCTCAACCGTCCATCACTCCGCCGGCAACCTACGGCCACGGAGTTTGAGCCCGGGTCGGACCCGTTTGGCGGTGTACTCAGAAGCCCTACGACTACTTCGCCATCACGGCGCAGTCCATCACACACGGCCTCATCGCCAGGTTCGCCGCTGCTCGGTCGTCGTCGTCGCTCGGTAACAGACGACTCGGGCGATTCACCCAGAAAACGTATCCGCATCCTTGCATCCAGCCTCTCACGGACACGCGCCTCTTTTCTCATCAGCAAGAAGCCGGCACATTCTTCCGAGCAGCTCGCACCATCCATCCATGAGGCGGTTCAGCCAGAACCTTTACCCGAGCCCGATTGGTCGCTTCTGAAGCATCGCGGGCGCACAACAGAGGAATTGATGGACCTGCCAAGAGAAGTCACAGCTCAGCTTCTTCGCGATAGCCTGTCTGCGCTGGAGCTCTCGAAGGCTCACCAGGCTGCGAGGAACGAAGCACTACAGAAGGCGAACTCCTGTGTTGTGCTTCAACGGCTGGAGAATACGAGAATGCGTAAGGCTTTGGCTGCGAAAGAGAAGAAGAAGGACGCGAAACGACTCACAAAGCGCGCACTCATCTGCCCGAAAGGACAGCCTTCGCACTTGACGAACCCGCAGCTCATTGAGGCACTGGAGAAGATGGAGGCCGAAAAGGAGCAGGAGGAATTGGATGCGAAGCAGCGGAAGAAGGATGCGGAATTGAAGAGCACGTTCAAGCGCCAGCAAGAGGAGTACTGGGTTGCTGTGAAGACGCAGGTGGGGAGGGAGCAGGCCGAATGGGACAAGAGGTTGTCGGAGCTGCGAGCTGAAGGAGAAACTGTTAAAAATGCCAAGGAAGCTTTAGGAAAAAAGCCGGCGATGCCATTGAAGGCTGACGTACTTGCGGAGTTCAGCTCACGCAACCTTCGCCCACTCGTAGACCCTCCATCCTCCGAGGTTGAGGCCGAGCATTATCAGGATGGCGAGGAGTGGCAGGGTTTCGGCTGGAGACTTGACCACTCGCGAGATGGTGGCGAAGCTGATGACGAGGACGAGGAGGAGTAAACACGGCGCACAGACGGTGGCCACGGCGGCCGCGGCTTCGCGGCCCGCACACCCGGAGTCACAAATCCACGCCGGCTGTCACGTTCAAAGGAGTGCGCCGCCGCGATTCGAGCGCCGAGCACAGTGCCCTCCTCCATACGCTCAACCATCCGATAGACCTTCTTAAAATTATTATAGCAGATCGATTACTATATTTACATCACATCTTGAAAAAAATCCGGTAGAAAAAGTCATCTCGAGACTCTCTAGAGCCCTCGATCGCGAAAGTGTTCAAAGGAGGGCCCAATGCCTGTACTCATGGGTATGTGGCGGCGCTCCCCCATGGTCAACGTCGACGTGCGGGGCGCCCGACTCCGCGGCGGTGCTCTGTTTAGAAGGACACAGCTTCGTAGACGCCGGGCCCTAGCACACATGAGGTTCTCGGGCACTTCTTCGCATGCTGCCGGTACTGATATGATGCTACCGGAGGGGCTCAATCTTGAGCGCTTAATGAGCTACAGGCGTCGGCGTCTGTAGACCCTTGGTTACGGCCAGGAAGGTTCGGTCTTCATCATCCAATACTTGCGCAAGCGCCTGAGGCCGCACAGGGGATCGAGAACTCGGGAAGTATGGCATGCGGCCGCAATGTTTACGGCGCACAACCTCAAGGATCCCACTCGGAGAGTTGCGGAGATTGCTGCCTAGAAGCTGGCTTACACCTTCTGCTCCCCCGTGCCCGGCCCCGAAGCAGCTTAGATCGGGACATTCTGTTTGGTCGCGCGCGGAGGGCACGCAGTCTGAAGCCAGGTCGTTGGCCCTGGGCGCTTGTAGACGATCGCGCGAACATCGTGCCGCGCTGTTTCAAGAATGTGGGCAGCCGGCAAATTGACATGGGCGGCTGGCACCGAGTCGTCCATGGCTGTATCTCATACCAATGCAAAGGAGGAACAAGATCTAGCGCTCGTCGAAGACATACACTCAAATGATACATTTCATAAAACCAACAGCAAGTACATAATTGACGCTGGGCCTCTTGTCAGTGACGTTGTTGACAGACCGGCCCATGCAGGACTCACTTCAACACTTCAATAGAAAGGGCACCTATGCATGAAACGGTCCAATTTGCGGTAGTCGGGTCTATCTTTCGCGACAGCCCAGAGCCAGGTGTCGACGTCAGGCAAGATGATATTCTTGACCCATTCGAGTCCGTCCTTGCGCAATTCCCCCACATCCATCGATCGCGCCGTTTCCACGATAAGCTCACAGGCGTCAATCGCTGCGGCGCGTAGGATGTACGCTTGATCCGTCGTCAGGACAGGGCCCTCCTTCGGCACGACCTTGGCCGCGGCCTTTGCCGTGTCTTTCATGAGATCGGGCGCAGGAGCCAGAAGCACTTCAAGCGCCTGGGGTGAGCCTGCGCCATCGAAGATACCCTCCAGGGAAGCATCACAGGCAGAGAGATCTAACACTCCGAGATGGACCAGCATCGAAGGTAGGACGTTGTCTGTACACACGGGAAGGCTTGACGCGTCCGGCACAGGAAATGGCACCGGAGATTTTGAGCCGAAGCGAATTGCGACCCCATAGATTACGAACAACGCTTTCTTGAAGCAGTAGACAGCTGAAGAACTGTCATTCAGTCTCCAGGTATCGGGATGTGGAAAAAGGACTGACGGCGACCGTTGATCATCTCCATGTCTTGGAACCCCGGGAAGGCCCTCACGAGCTATAAGCCGATTAATGCGCGCACAATACGCTAAGTTCGCAGATCTTTACCCGCTCAAGAACCACGTCCGCGAGCGCGTCCTTATTGCCCGTCCTTGAAGCAACGTTCTGGCCCTCCTTGAGGGCCTCGGCCACGAAGGTCCCCAGATCCGAATAGCCATTCTGGACCAGTATCTTCCCAGTCTCGTTCATGAGTTGCTTGAGTAGTTGCACAAGCTCCCATCCAGCGCCTCCCACCTCGCCAACAGTGAGGCCAGCGATAGAGTCATGCGCTTTCTCGACGTGTACGTTAACCCCGAGAAGCTCGGCTATCTGGGCGTCACCAATTTGCTTCATTCCTTGGGCGCTCAGAAGATCGCCCTCTCCACTAGAGGAAGTGAGGTAAAGGCCGAAGACGAAGGCGCGAATCGAATCCCATGCCCCACGGCCCGTCTGCTGGTGGAGAGCGGTGCGGAAGCCGGGCCCTATGTTGAGGAGTGATAGCACCGACAGCACATTCAACTCGGCGAAGGGCGAAGGGAAGTTCAGGGGAAACGCAAGGCCATGTGAGTTGCTCGCAATCCGATGATAGGTCGTAGTGAAGGCTGGTGAGAGTAACAGACGTTTGATGTTTTCCTCAGGGACCTAGTGTAATTGAATGAGTATGAACGTCCCAGAGGCGTGGTACACGAAGGAAGAGCAGAAGAGCGATACGGGTCGAGCTCGAAGACCCATAAACTTTCATCACAGCGCGGCAACGATGTTCCGAGTCTGTATTACACCTTGGGCATTCCGCCGTGGGCAGGTTAATACCTTTCATTGTGCAAACCAGGCGCTTGTGAAGAGGTACGCGTTCAGACGCCCAACTACGAGGGTTGTCGCGCGTATCAAGCCACGATACGCGTCACCGAACGAGCTAAATGACCCTGACGACGGCGTTCAAGTTATGATAGCATTGGCTCACCTGTATGTGATGTGCCACGCGCACCTCGTGGCAGGACCGCCTGATGGATGCGATGAACTGACCAGAAGGTGGTAAAGGAGGAGCCATAGCAGAATCGACGAGTTAGACGCTCGGGTGCGTGGAAAAGAAAGGGCGCGAGGAGCGAGCTACGACGAATGCGGCGAGGAGTAACCCAAAAAAACAAGTCCCGCAGTGTAGTGGGCGAACGTCGATTACTGATACCTCCTCGTGAGTTCAGTCAGGTTCTGCCTCGGAAATGGAGGCTGACAGTGATATTGAAGTGCTTGTGGCCAGGGCTTATATGGACTTTCCCCAGACGTGACCACGGTCAGAGTCAAGATGACTGTAATGCCGAGCGCTCGACGCGCGTCGTCGCGCCGTCAAGTTCAAACTTCGAAATTGATTCCGACGTAACCTTAACCCCATGCGGGGAATGAACCGTCACGGGCGCGCCTTCTGTCAATGCCCGTTGCCAGCTCACAACCTTCATTGCCCCGCGAAGAATGTTCAGAATATCAGCTTCCACTTCGACCTCTGCACGCCTGCTCGCTCAACAGGTACGAGCTCGGCATCTGAATACCGTTGCTTCAGAAGGTAGACTGTGCACATTATATATGTATGGCCTCGCGAAAGACTAATGACAACGTCTACAGTAGATGTTCGTCCTCGTCTTATGGCTGAGCTCAAGAATGCCATGAAGGTCATTGCCCCTACATGAGGATACGGCGGCGCACTGATAGGTTCTTGTCACACATAGACCAAAGATACTATGGCTTCCACAACTATCCGGGTGAGGGCCTCAAGATCCCTTTGTGCTATGCTCGGGTTCCTGATTCCTAGTATTGTATATCATTGTTATAGTCGGTACTTTCGGAAGTCTATGCTGCGGACAAAACCTCCTCGGATTCTAGGGCCAGTCCTTCGGCGGTCCTGCTTCTCCTTCGAAAGGCTGTGGCTCGTCGGGTACGCTCTCAAACTCACTATGCCGTGCTTTGAATAACTTGGATATCTGACGCGATATTCAGACCGAATCAGCTGCCCAGTTCATACAAGCTTCACGACCTGATCTTGCCGAGAAGGAGCAACAAGAGGCTGAGCTGCTGACCAAGTTTCTTCCAGCTCTGATGCCTGAAGGTGATGTGGATGACATACTCAAGGGTATATTGGCCAGCGAGGGACTCATCACTCCCGGGGCCGATCCTCGCAAAGCGACAGGAAAACTGTACAAGGCATTCTTCGCTCGTGTGGATCGTTCGCTTGTAGATCAGGACATCCTCAAGCGCCGCATTGAGGCAGCCTTGGCTGCGTAGAGGATATCTGTGCACCGCCTACGGACTGGGCCGTATCAATGAACGTCACAATCTATGCAAGTTGTTAGAGTTGGATCATGAGATAAACGTCGAATTCTAACGTGCTATGAACCCAGAGCATATATTGATAATGTTACAAAATTCCACAGATAGGTATTCCAATCATGGCGCAGAAACCGTATCAGTCTTCGAGTCCGTAGAAGGGGGATTAGTCCCAGTACGCGTGGTCATTGGCGTTGAAGCGGAAGATGGGGGTAGGACACTCCTCACCCGCGCAAGCTCGTCTATGCTCCGCTGCAAGGCAGTCGAGACGTTCTCAAGCACACGTAGTCGCTCATCTATGGCTTCCCGCGTTAGCCGATCCAACCTCTGGAGTTGCTCGTCCGATAGAGTTTGCGGAAGTTGTGTAAGCGACGGAAGATGCTGAGGCGGCGGCGGCGGCGTCTGGGAAGGCCACGATGATAAATGTGGGTCTGACATGGGAGCCGAGAGCAACGGTGGTCGTTGTGAGTACTGGGACCAATGATGGTGCTGAGGCGGGATGTATGATGCCGACGGTTGCCCTGTGCGTTGTATGGGCGAAAGAGCGAACAAGGGGATGAGCGAGGGCAAGTTCGTGCTTATTGCCGTGGCGTTAGGCGCCGAGCCTGTTGACGGTGGCGGACGGCCGGCAGGCGTGGAGGAAGATGACGATTCAACAGGGATTGGCGCTGTCCCTCCAGTGAGTCGGCGCAATGCGGCGGCGGCGGCGGCTTCACGAGGAGGGAGTACCGCGCCATCAGACGATGGTGGATTGGGTTCCGTCTGAGACGATGCTGTCGAAGATCCGGTTTCTGGCGCCTCTGGTCGAGTTGTATCAGTGGGAGGCAGAGGTGCTTGCAGTTGGCCAGAAACAGGCCAAGGCTGCCATTCACGACGAGGGCCATAAAACCCTTGAAAGACAGGCGGTGGTTGCAGTTGCTGAGGTTGATGAGTGCCTGCGGGCCATGACGAGTGTTGACCGGGGTTACTGGCTGGCGGGATCGGCAACCCGTGTTGACGAGCTGGAGGTGCCTGCACAGGCTGCTGTGCGACTTGGGGTGCGGCTTGAGGCGCAGGAGCTTGTGCTGGCACTGGCGCTGGTGGGACGCCGAAGAAAGCGCGGAAGATGTTTCCAGCTCGAAGACCAGGCAGCGCTTGTTCGTCTTCATTGGCCTGTCCACCTTCTGGAGCCTGTCCTGCATTGGGTGTAGCAGGTGACCCGTCAAGAACTCCGCGGCGACTAGACGTCACCCTTTAGCGTGTTTCATCGATTTCGAGCGTTGTACGTACCAAGTAGGGCAGCTTTGTTGCCTTTCTAGCCAGGATCGTAGGCAGTGGAAGTGGAATATATGTCCACAAGGAAGTTTTTTCGGGGTCATATTAGGCCCATCCCCTTCAGCTGTAGGGTCCGGGGCTGCAGTTGCCGTCTGAGCGACCATCTCTTCGCGGCATATGATACATGCCGCATCACTCATAGCCGTCAGCTCAGTCTCGGTAGCGTTTGGATAGCGCTCGTCCATATTACGCGTGGCGGCACGATATCGCAGGAGATCCCGCAAGCGCGTGATGAATGAGCGAGCCGTCACGTAGACGTCGCGAACCACGTTAAGTGGCACGCCGTAGAACGTGATTACTATCACGAAGAAGCCGAGATAGGTAACGAGTTTCCAGAAATCTAGGCGAGTCATTGTAAGCTGTATATTTATTCTGGCGGGAGGAGGACCAAACGTACCGGTGAAGAGATCGATATAGAATGTGTACATGCTCTTGTTCTCCCAGGGTGGTGCGTTTTCGCCTCCACGTACAGCTGCACGTCTGTGCTCATATGCACAGAGCGTGTACTTGGCAAGAGAGTTGACCGCGCTTGCTATCAATATCGCGTACTGAAGCGGAGTGAGGCTGATTTCAAGATTGGTTCACGTGCGCACGTACCTCACTCGCGAACAAGACTATGGCCCCGACTCCTTTCGTCTGCACGCTGTCTATCGCAAACAGAATCATGACGGCGTCCGTCAGGTACAGTACGACAAACAGTGTCACGATGCGGACATGGAAGAGAGTGGGTGGGCCTGGAAAGGGCATCTGATTCATCTGAAGGACTGAGTGAGGCATTGTTTCTCAGCGCGGTGTGACAACATACCCATTCTACTCGATCCGACAGTAACCAATGGAAGGACTTGACGAATAGCAAAAAGAGGAACATCACTCCGAACGGTATGTCAAACTCGTCGCGAAATATGGTGAATGCTAGCAGAGACTCTGTCACGAAGAACCACACGCGGTCGTAGAGCCTCTACACAAGACCGTTAGACTTGTCATGATCATGGGATCTTTCATACGCACCTCAACTTCCATGGGCCTTAGACTGCCAAAAAAGACATGTTGGATCATCCGCGCTACGCCGAGTGCAAGCAACAGGGCAAAGTTGACTAATACCTGGAACGAGTGTGAGAAGCAATACGAGGGCGGGATCGTCATCATACCAAAACACTGCGACCGCTCTTAGACAAGTATACCGCGACCGAGTAGAAGTTACTGTGGTTTGCCAGTGCATTGGCAATCGTCGCCGAGAGTGCGACCGTGGATGCCAACGTATACAGGAATACCCGATGTGAGAGCAGATATGTTGTCAGGCTCTGTCCCCGGGGTTGGAAGACATCGGGGATGGCTATGGGCATATCGAAATATGCGGGAGGAGGTACTCAACCCTCACAGTGGTTCGAGGATAGACGGGGGATGGTGGACTGGCGGGAGAGGATACAGACGCGCGCTCACGATCGTGCTGTGACGAACACGTCGCGCGCCACGCCGATACGCGTGAGCACGTGTGTTTTCTCGAACTTCCACCACCGTGACCCGCACCGACAAGGACCCGCACAATCCCATGCCGTCCGGGCTTGCTAAGGGCCTTACCCTTCTCGGTGACAACTGCGAGGTTCCTACTACGCAATAGAAGCTACACGCATCAGAGACGAGTTCTTCCTGATGCGTCGTCCAGACTGCGGCCAGAAATTCGGGCCAGACATCGCACGACGTCGTGCTTCGCGCAAATCTCGCGCGCCACGTCCAATCGTTCAGAAGGCCAGATAAGGCTCCGTACCGAGCGAACCGAAGAGCTCAGGAACATTGTTGTCAATTATGGGGGCGTCTGCACCCCCCGTACGCAAGGGCGCTCAATTCGACACCCGATACCAGCGCTTGTTTCGCACACAAGGAGAGTTGACGGCGGCTGCAATTACTGGACCGTGTTCCAGGTACATTTATTGTCGCGGAGTCGTGGGCGCCAAACGGGCGCTTAACGGTCTAATAGACGGCGCGCCAACGGCAACGAATTGCCCTGTCCGAACCGATCCCCGCACACCCAAATTTCTCAAGCGAAAGAGCTATAAAACGGCAGTCGTGCGTAACCGGTCTTCAGACCATTCGTCACCTCCCTTCTTCGTCTCTTCCTCTCCGCGGTTTTCCTGTGCGACGTTGTCGTTTTCTTGTCGGTGTCAACTTTCAACATGGCCAACAAGGACCCTTCCGTCGGGTCAAATCGGTGCCACTCGAAGGACTTTTCTCCCATTCGCCCTATACGGCAACCTGTGTATCGGAGACTAGTAACGTATGGCCTCTACCTGTTGTCGGCAGTGCTATCTGCAGCATGCGTCACCATGTATGCCCGACGTGGCTTTGTTATTCCCCACGCGTATGCGCTCTGCTCTCCATCCGGCGTTAAGGCGATCTACACCGTCAACCCTGCGCGGCCTACAGTACAATGCATGGTAGTGAACGGCTCTCGTATAGCGGATATGGGTAGCCTTGGTCGGTAACCTTCTTTCGAGTCTTCGATGACGACGTACTGAACTTTCTTCAGAGGACGTCTATCGACGCTGGGATGCTTCTATTGAAGCAATACAGGCGGGGCAGAAGCGGGCTCTCGCGAAACCTCGCCTTGAGGCCAGATTCATCAAGTCCGGATCGATCGTCGTTCCTGGGATGAGCGGTCAGTGCGGCTATACGGGCGCTCGAACGCTGATCGCCCAAACTCACTTTCTATCTAGATTCACATGTGCATTCTCTTGAGTACGGAGCCTCGCGTATCATTCCTCTCGAAAGCGCTCGTACGCCTGAAGGTGCGTTGTCATTGCAACCGACCCCTTATCGAAGCTGATTCACCAGCGCTGTAGAGGCCGTCGCCGCAGTCAGGGCATTTATCCTATCCGACGAGGACATTCGTCAAGACCCGGACAAATACGTGCAAGGTTGGGGATGGGACCACACAAAGTGGCCGGAAGCCAGCTTTCCTCTCGCCGTAAGTACCATCCGAAGATATTTGCCGTCCCCGAGGCGCTGACTTCCTGAGCAGGCCCACCTCGACAAAGATCCCGTGGTGCGTGCGCATCGCGTTGCGCTCGAGGCTAAGGACGGACATGCACTCTGGGTGAACGCCCGGGTATTGGACGAAAGCGGTCCGCTACCTGATTATGTCGAGGGCGGAGTTATCCTGCGCGATGAACAGGGCGCGCCAACGGGTACGTTTCGGCGTGTTTTGGGACGTTTTCCACTCTTGAGCTTCGTCATTGACGCGCCATTTCAGGCGTGTTCATGGATAATGCACAGAGTCTCCTACCTGTACCGCCGCCAACGCAAAGGGACCTGGAAAAGCAGTTCAAACTCGTGGTCGACGACGCATTATCCCATGGATTAACTGCGGTTCATGATGCTGGCTTTGACCCAAAGTCTTTGGAGTTCTTCAAAGTGTGAGCATGCCACGTTCGTCGCAGGCATATGGTGACTGAGCGCGATTCAGTCTTGCAGCGCAAAATAAGCTACCGGTCAGTCTTCCGGGCGTACTGGCCCATATCAAACACTCAGATTCATTCTCAGATTCGGGTCTATGGGATGACGTACTTCGATGAACACGCCGATTATTGGGGAGACAAAATCAAGCCCATCATCGGTGCGGCGGATGGCCGTTTTACGGCGCGCAGCGTCAAGTTCTTCGGAGACGGTACGTGTCACCGTTTTGACTCCTTTGTCGATCATGTCTGATGTCTGTATGGCTATAGGCGCTCTGCGCACAGGCGGTGCAGCGGCAAGTTCTCTGACCTGACATCTCCTGTTCATCACCACTGACTGCCGTTTTCAGCTGTTCGAGCCTTACACCGACAACCCGGAATCCAACGGGTTCATGAGAATCGACCCGGACGTTCTCAAGAACGCGATCACTCGCTTTTTGCGTGATGGTTGGCAAACTGTAAGCTATCTAAAAGCCGAAGAGTCGCCCACCGTCGCCCATTCCTGACTGGGCCCATATCAGAATATCCATGCTATCGGTGACCGCGCGAACAGCATCGTCCTGGACGTCTTCGAGAGCGCCCTAGACGGGGTCAACGTCACAGCACTACGTCCACGCTTGGAACATGCGCAAATCATTCGACACTCCGACATGACTCGCTTGGCTGAGCTGGGCGTCATTGCCAGTGTCCAACCAACCCATGCCACGGACGACATGTACTTTGCAGAGCAGCGCCTGGTTAGCGGCCTTTTTCTGTGTGAAGGCTGATCCAGACCCTGACACAATATTAGGGCTCGGAGAGGGTTAAACTTCTATACGCATTCCGCGACATCATTCGACACGGCGCCAGGATTACCCTAGGCAGCGATGCGCCGGTGGAGACTCTGGACCCTCTCCACAGTTTCTTCGCTGCCATCTCTCGGGTCGCTCCCGACGGTACTTCGCCTCATGGACCCGAAGGGTGGTTTGCCGAACAACGCTTAACTCGCGAAGAAGCGCTAAAAGGTACGCTTTGATGTGATGGCATTCGATCTTCGCGTCCTCACTACATGCGTAGGTATCACGCTCGATCCTGCATATGCTTCCTTTACCGACGAAGAACTCGGATCCATCGAGATTGGCAAGCGAGCGGACTACACTATCCTATCTCAGGATATCATGTCCGTACCCACAATGGATATTCTTAAGACCAGGTACGCTTGGCCTGACTTGATTCGATATGATCCGCGCTGATCCAGATGCATCGTGGTACAGGGTACTTGCCACCGCCCTGGATGGCCGCATCGTATTTGGTGGATTATGAGTTGCAAGGGTTACCTTTCGTTCACCGTTATCGCGCTACTTTGTGCGGTCGTCGAAGGGCGACTGGCGTCAGGGCGTCACCGACGTGCTGGACGTGTCGGTCCCGTTCGTCGATCGCCTGAGGTTACGTGCTTGTTTGATTACTTGGCTCTGTATGTTATAACGATATGTACAATGGGATGTATACGAGATATTTCGGTGTCATACACGAGCATGAGTTAGAGCACGAGTCTAAGCAGTATTGACGCGTCGTTGATCGCGCACGTGAGAACAACGCGTCGCGACGCGTCCTGGTTGAGTCGCGTCGAACTTGCGCACTAACCACCATCGTCCTGCGCTTTGCACGACCATGCCTCCTTTTCTTGCCCCCTCTTCCGCCACATCGAATGGTTTAAAGAGGAAATCTGAGGCCACCGAAGACTACAGTCGAAAGCGCCCGGCAAACGACACTACAAGTTCCGGCGGGGAGCGATACTGGATGGTGCAATGGTGCGTTATCCTGGAATGGGAGCTCGACAGGCGCTCAGAGCGTTCTAGGAGACTGCCTCAGGCCAGAAAGCACAAGACGTGGGAAGGAGACGGCGTGCTGGTGGTGAACAGCTCTCGAGCCACACTCATGGATCAAGACGGTCGCGTGTATGCACTCTCGTCCACCGCCCACTCGCATACTGACCGTCGCGCAGCATCGGCTCGGGAAAGATAGGCTTGCAAACTCTCGAAGAAGGCGCGCAGCTGAGCGTTGGGGGAAAGGAGCTCGAACTTGACCGTGCCCTCTCGCGTCACGAATATCTGTCTGGAGAGTGCTTTGGCCGTAGCACTACGGGCACGTCCAATCCATCAACCAGCTCCAACACCTTCACAAAGAAATTCACCCCTCTACGTCCTCTTACCATCAATCCCGGCACCACCGTACGCCAACCATCCACACCATCTGTTACTTCGAAAGTCACTTCGAAGGACGACGATTTGGGGCACGCGCCGGAGTCATATTGGACTGCGAACTGGTATATCTCTTTCAACCTGCGGTTTATGACGTGTTCTGATGCAATGGTAAAACTAGGCGCAAACCACAAGGCAAGAAAGTAGGCTTAATAACCCCTCAAAGTAGACCTATCGTCTGACGCCCGCTCTTAGCACAAGACTTGGGACGGGGATGCCTTCGTCGTCTTCAAGCGAGGAAAGATAACTCTCATCTCGGAGCAGGGAAAGATGTAAGCACTGTCAACAAACAATCACTCTTTACATCTTGCTTATTTGGTCCATTGCAGCCTAGGCAGCAAACCTTACGAGGGCGCGCGGCTCATGTCCGGTTTCAAGAACTTCATCGCCGGCCGAGAGATTGAACTGGATGCACAAGTGCCGCGCTCGAGTCTTCCAGCTCTAACAGGTGTCGTAGACGAACCCGAGAACGAGATCGACCCGGATGCGTTTCAGCTCTCTCAATCAACTCCTGCCCGGCGAGCCAACTCCCCCATTATTGTTCAGGATGCGTCATCGCCTGTCAGGAATAGTCCATCCGCCACCAAGAAGTTTGTGGCTCCAGCAGCATTCTATAATGCACCTGCTACCAAACCCAAACCGAAGGGCCCCTTGTGAGCCAGCAGCGCCACGTCTGCAGTCTTCAGCGCTAATCAACGGGTATCCAGGCACGACCCCGCCGGCGAGGGTGCAATCGTCATGAAGTCGCCCGACGCCGAACATAAACGAAAATATAATAAGAAGTGTGTAGCTGTCGACGTTCATTCTCTTCCCCTCTAATCTTGTGGAAGGGGATATCCGGTCGTTCCCGTAGTTTTGGATCCTCTCCTGGGCCGACGTCTACGGCCACATCAAGTTGAGGGTATGTGACACATGAGTGGCACCACTGTCGTGTCCCTCTTCCTGACCTTTTGACGCAGGTGTCAAATTCATGTATGAATGCGTCATGGGTTTGCGTAAACATGAAGGCCAGGGTTGTATCCTTGCAGACGAGATGTACGCAGTATCCTATGCCTGTATTTCCTGTACTGACTCGAAGCCGCAGGGGCATGGGCAAGACTCTGCAGGTTGTCGCCTTCGTAGCATATTCTCATCGGCAGACGCTTACTCTCCAGTAGACTATCACGCTGATTTGGACGCTTCTGAGTAAGATATCGTCCGTCTTTCTCCGTACTTTCCTAATGGCATGTTAAGAACAGAACCCTTATGCGGGTGGTGGGCCCTCTGTCGGCAAAGTTCTCATCGTTTGTCCGGTCTCACTCGTGAATGTAGGCTCGACAGCGCATCGTTCCTTCTCCTCACTGCTGACGCAGACGTAGAACTGGAAAAGCGAGTTCAACAAATGGTACTATCACTTCCACTACTGGCATACTTTTCTCACTTTGACGACAGGCTGGGACGCGACCGACTCGGCATCATGGCTGGCGATAAGGATAAGAGTATACTGAAGCAGTTCATCAACTCGTAAGTTGAGCGCTCCGCGACTTGATATCGTTGGTGGCTTATTTCCGATGGCACATGCAGCAAGCGCGACCAGGTTATGATCATCGGGTATGAGCGCCTGCGCTCCATCATGTGAGCGATTGAGCTATATGAAACGTGTACCGTGGAAGCTCATTGCCGTAATCAGCGCCGACCTCGCCTACTGCAAGTACGAGAACCCCTCTACCTCTTGCTTGAATCTCGACTGATCACAGCAGCCCACCGATTGGGCTCATCATTGCCGATGAAGGTTGGCCCTTCTCCGTCCCTCCATCTCGAATGGACTCCTCAATATTGTATAGGACATCGCTTGAAGGGCGCAGGGAACAAGACATCCACAATGTTTGAGGCTTTGAGAACCAAGCGCCGAATCATTCTGTCTGGTACACCCATCCAGAACGATCTTGGCGAGTTCCATGCGATGGTGAGTGGCTCGATCGTTGTTTGTCAACATTGTTGTGTAATACATCGATAGGCCGACTTCTGTAACCCTGGTCTACTTGGTAGGCGGCTCACTGTAGATTATTGAATGTGTTGCGATAACTGAGTGCCGTAGACGACTACAACACCTTCCGTCGGGTATACGAAACGCCCATCCTTCGCAGTCGCACTCCTGGCTGCTCCGATAAGGACGCTCAACTTGGCAAGGCGCGGGCGGCCCAGGTCCGTGCTCTGCGTCTCCGCTGCAACTGTCACTCATTCCTGCGCCTTAGTTACAAGAGGTCGCGCGTAGCTTCGTCTTACGTCGGGATGCTACAATCTTGAAGAGCTACCTACCCCCAAAACGTAGAGAATGTCCATCCTTTCGATCTTGAATTTGTACTGATGCTCTCTCCTAGATGAATACGTCGTCTTTGTCACACCCACTACCTTGCAACTGTCTATCTTCAACAAGCTCTTGAACCCCGACAAGCTTGACAACATTATTCATGACTCAACAGCCGAGTCGCTCGCTTTGATCAACATGTTGACAAAAGTCAGCAATAGCCCTATCCTCTTACAGGCCGTCGCGGATAAGAACCGAGGAGACGCCGGTTCCAAGAAGGCGAAGGCAAGAGCGGTTGAAGAGGCGGTCAAACTTCTTCCTGAGCGTGCTCAGGTGGATGATGTATCGTTGAGTGGTACGCACCTTCAATCATCCGTGCCAGGAGCATGCTCAAGGTCATCTACCTGCCAGGCAAGCTGGCAGCATTGGCCACATTATTGCGAGCGATCAGGAAGGCGAGCATTGCGGGTTGTATCCCAAGGGGAGTCGCTGATTGACGGTCTCATACAGGATACTGACGAGAAATGCGTTCTTGTCTCGCATTATACGTCAGCACTAAACATTCTCGAGGCCTTTTGCAAGAAGAAGTCCTACAGCTATCTACGCCTCGATGGGTACGTGTACGCACTTCATCTACGCTTCGTTGGCTCACGGAGCGCCACAGCTCGACCCCCACTGCCAAGCGCCAAGAGTACGTGAACGAGTTCAACAGGTCAAGCCAGAACCGATGCTGTACGAACCTTCGCTCACTATCCGTGCACCGTGCACTCATGTCCTTCAGTCATCTTCTTGTTGAGCTCGAAGGCCGGAGGCGTTGGCCTGAACCTCATAGGCGCTTCTCGGCTATGCTTAGTGGACTCGGACTGGAATCCTAGGTACGGCCATCCCATCCGGAAAGAAATATATGCTTGTGTCTCATGAACCCTATAGTCACGATCTCCAATCTATGGCCCGTATCCATCGGTGCGTAGTACTTCACGAAATTGCGATGCGCTTTTTCTCAGATCTCTATAGAGATGGTCAGAAGCGCGAGGTCCATATCTATCGTTTCTTGACTGCCGGTACCATCGATGGTGTGTCTTCAGTACGCGCTGTCATGCTACAAGCTGATGTGTCCCTTAGAAAAGATCTACCAACGTCAAGTGACCAAACTGGGCCTCAGCAGTAGTACGTACATCACACGCTCCACCGTATATACTGAACACTAACACTGATGGACCTTCTTCAGCTCTGATTGGCGATGTGTGCAAATTTCTGGCATCGCAGCCGGAACACTCTACTGACCTTCTCGCCGTAGGGAAAGGGTCAATCGAAATCGGACTCTTTCACTCCGAAAGAGGTTCGTTACCCATCCGGTGTAGCTTCGTGTGCTCAGAGCTAACCCTTTCATTAGTTAAGGGACATCTTCACTGTGCATCCCAATACTGCCTGCCACACTCACGACCTGCTTGACTGTCCTTGCGATCGAGAAAACGTCCATACGAAGTCCGGTCCCGCAGACAGTGGCAGCGACGGTTCAGACAGCGAAGAAGAGCGCCCAGCGAAGTTCATATCTGCTTCGCAGGTGAACCCGGGCAAGGCGGACAAAGGGGTGAGTTTCGGACCGCAATTGCGCGTGAGCGTAGTATGTTGATCTTTACCAGTACCTCAAGAAACAGAAGGCTGCCCTGGCAGCTCTAGGACAATGGCGCCACATCAACTGTCTGAAGCCCGGTGCAAAAGCGCTTATCAAAGATGATCTTCTCCATCACTTGCTGCATATGCCTGAGCGCAACACTGCGTCGTTGTCATCCGAGGCACGTCCTCGCGCTTCAACGCTATTAGACGCCGTGGATCTCGACAATGTTCTGGCCATGTCAGTTGATGACGCCGATAACTTGCGCGATGTCCCTGGTGGCACCCTCTCGTTCCTGTTCCAGAAGGATACTTCCATCACCACACAAGAAGAAGAAGAGCGGGGCATTGATGATGAGGTTGCGGAGGAGGATGGTCAAGGCGAGAACGTGGTCGATTCTGGGGAAGAGTCGGACATATCGATGCCGGAGACTATATCGAAGTAATATCAAGTGGCATACCAGTCCTTTGTGCATACTATATTAGATAGTGGAACTACTGTGCCACTTCGTACCTTCCTACGCTTGATACGCTTAAGCTCTTTAGGAGGTGTGCACAGCGTGCGTTAGCCTCGGCCAGGACTGAAGGTCGAGTCCTTTCAGTCTATGTAATGTGACCATGATCAAACGCGTCCGGTCACACAGTTGTTTAACCGGTGACCACCGCGACACCCATTCAGTTGCGAGCCACCACGACTGCGATACCCCCTCCATTGCTCGCCGCGCGTCCTCTACCGGTCCTAACTGGCGTACAGCTAGAGCGTCGCTGTGCTACATCATAGCCATAAGCGCCCGGGCCTCGCCTGAAGAATGGGAGTTCCTGGTCTTTGGGATGTTAGTCTTCCCCTTCCTCTCGCGGCTACGAGATCCTGACTCCGATCCAGATACTTTTCGAGCTGGGCAGGTCCCGCTCTCTTGTAAATCTGTCGGTACAGGAAGGTTTCGAAGGCAACAGATCAGGAAGGCGTGCGTACCGCATCGGTGTCGACGCGAGTTTGTGGTACGCACATGCCGCGTTCGCTAAAGGCGGAGAGAATCCGGAATTGCGCCTCCTGTTCTTCCGGTGTCTTCAGCTTGCGAGACTGGCCGTCGTGCCATATTTTGTATTTGATGGTCGTGAACGACCTCCGATCAAACGAGGCAGCAAAAAGGGCAAAGCGGGCTCGCACGCCCTAACGCCGGGCTTCAAGAAGCTCTTGGAGTGTTTTGGTTGGACATGGAGAGAGGTGTGCAAACCACCAATTAGTGCCACGCATAGGCTAATGTGTACTCAGGCTCCAGGAGAGGCCGAAGCTGAATTGGCGTATCTCAACCGCGAAGGCATCATTGATGCGGTCTTGACGGACGATGGAGATGCGCTGATCTTTGGCGCTACGATGGTCATACGCAAGTAAGCTCGTTGCTCCAACTTCTTTGCTGTGATCGCGCTGACTTCTGGGATCAGCCAGAGCAACAATTTGACCGGGAACAAATCCAAGCCTGCGCTTGATTCGAACAAGAAAGCAAGCAAAGACCACGTCATGATCTTCACGGAAAGCGCTCTTATGGAAGGTGGACTTGATCGGGCTGGTCTCATTCTCGTTGCTATGTTATGCGGAGGTGACTACGTTCAGGAGGTGCGTCTACAGAGAACATGTTCAATCACCAACTGACCTATTTTTCAGGGTATCAAGGGCTTCGGTAGAGTCACGGCCGCGGCTTTAGCACGCGCGGGCTTTGGTCAGGGACTATTGAATATCTATGCTCTACGTGGCGAACCGGAATATGCTCGTCTGATGGCGCAATGGCGCTCCGAGGTCCACAACGAGCTTCGTACCAACTCGCAAGGCTTTCTCAAGCACAAGCACCCTTCCCTGGAGCTTCCGGCTACTTTCCCTGATCTCAAGATCCTTGGCTACTACTTTGAGCCCAAGACAAGCCGGGGACAAAATCCGCCGCAGATTCGCGATTCCGAGAGTCTTTGTTTGCCGCGACTAGCGGCCTTTTGCGAGAAACATTTCGGCGAATGGGGGTACGAGGGGCTTATCATCAAGCGATTTCGCACTCTAGTCTGGGAATCGACTCTCCAGCAACTGCTGCGCCGTGCTGCCCTCCAGGTTGACGAACGAGAAAGGCAAAGTCGCCATCGCAACGGTGATTACGGCCGCGACATCCAAGGAGTGCTCCGCCCTGCTGCCGTCGACGCACACGGCTTATCTGAGTCTTTCATCACTCGCCTCGTGGGCCGGCGAGAGGAAGTCGGTATCAGCGATGCATTTGTCAACCGACCTACGTCCAGTGCAAACCTTCGGCCCGACGAGGATAATAATGTCTTGGAGATGAAAGTCGTCGGAAATACTCGCAAGCACGCGTCGACCGACGGTCTCCTAGAGTATCGGGTGGAGTTCACGCCGTCGCTTTTCGTTGAGCTGACCAGGCAGGGAATCTCTGGCAAGCGAGGCGACCCTCCGCCGCCTTCTGGAGCTGAACCCGACCCCTGGGATATTGACTTCGGCCCCGAAGCCTCTCGTCTCAGAGCTCCAAAAGAGTCGTCAAAGCCGCCTCCACCACCAGAAAGCTCCATGCGCGTTTGGGTCTGTGCCGCTATGCTGGAACAAGTCTTTCCCAATCTACTGGAAGAGGCGGCTGCCAAGCAGTCGGGGAAGAAGAAGGCCTCCAGCGCGAGTCAACGCGCCCGACAGGGCGATAGTGACCATCTCGAAGGAGTCTCTTCCGATGTCGAGGCACTAGGAGACCCGTATCCACCCCCCGTGCAGCATACTACGTTCCGAGCCTCTCAACCAATTCGTCGTACAGAGTCACAGCCGGTCGCTGGCCCTTCACGAATCCCCGACCATCAAGCTGCCACCGCTCTGGCGCGCTCTCCTCTACAGCCGACGCAACCTCGCGAACGTACTACTGCTTCTCTCGAATCTCATGCTAAGATCGGCTTCAAGTTCACCTTCCCTTACACCGATGATCCCAATAGAATGCTCCTAGAGGACGGACTGGACATGCCCTTGGCTTCTTCGGCGCGTCGGCCTCGCACGCAGGTCCCGTCGGCCCTTGCTGGTCCCGAAGCGGCTTCTTTTTCGCAACCTTTCCCTCGTGCCTCTCCGCCGCGCGTCGGCGCGCCAGTGCGCCGTAGTGCGTCAGAGGCCTCTCGCCCTTCAGCCTACAGGAGCGCAGGTTCACGGCCCATCAATCGCGACAACTACATCGGCTTTGACGTTTCTAACATGTTTGGGGGTGGTGACACTGATGAAGAGGGTGGAGATGAGACGGAACCAGACGTCATCCGGAATGCGAGTGCTGCGACGAATAATCGCATGGATCACATCTTCGACGCCGTATTCAAGCCGCGTGGCAAGGAAAAGGGGAAAGCCACAGCGAAGCGCGTAGCTTCAGCACCAACTGCCTCTCAGTCCCGTCCGGTCAAGAAGCGCAAGACGGCACAGTCAGCCCCGCGAATGGACGTCGACTGGCCACCGCTTGCGCCGCCCCCGCCACGCCGTGTTTCGCCCCCGCCTGTCCAGGCCACCTACCGCAATTCCGGACTCGTGCGTCAGAACTCTATTGCTAGTAGTTCTCGAGCCTCAAGCGATGTCATCGAGATCGACTCGGACTCGGACAATGATTCGGATAATATGTTCCCTACTAGGCTCTCCTCGCCTCCGAGTACTCGCTTCGACTCGGACGAAGAGAGTATAATCGATCTCACATGAACACTTCTACCTACATCTTCTCATATTGAGTCATGAACTCTATAATGCCTGATACTGTACCATTTTCCCTTCATCCTACGTTCTCCATTACTCGTTCGTATAGTTCTGTACAGCCCTTGGCGTCCCCGTTGATCCATGTCTTTTGACTGTCACGAAACTCACATGATCGTGTCCGGATCGTGTGAGAGTACCCGGCCCTATGGCCCGCGTTATCTCGAAGCCACAGGCTGACTTGGACGCCCATCATAGCTTTCAGAAGTCAACCTCCAACTTCGAACATGCCCCAGTATCTGACTCAGGATCAGGTCGACTCTTTCCGTAAGAATGGGTGGGCATCGTCCGTGCATTATACCTACTACACGAAATAATCACGCCCTCTGTGACATGCAGATACCTTCGTGTACCGGGCTTCCTTTCCCCTGAAGAGACAGCATCCCTCATGACGCGTGCCAAAGAGCTTCTCGAGGAATTCGATCTTTCCGGTCACCCTCTTGTATGTCGGCCATATAGATGACGAGTGTTTCCAGCTCAGGCATACGGTGCAGACGCAATTCACGACCAGCGATGACAATCACGTCGGCGACGAATATTTCTTGACCTCTGGCGACAAGATCCGTTACTTCCTCGAGGAAGGCGTCGTGGGTGAAGATCGAAAGCTCAACCGACCGAAGGAACGCGCAGTAAACAAGATGTCGGGTCTTTAGACTTTCTACTGTTCGTATTGAGCTCATGCGTCGTGGTACAACAGAGGACACGGTATGCGATAGCGCGAGCCTCCCAAAAGCTTAATCTGACCGCAAATATAGCATTGCATGAGTTGGATCCTGCATTCCGAAAGGCGACCCTCGAGAACGAGCGCATCCGAGCGGTAGCCCAAGATCTGCAGTTCCATCGTGATCCTGTCGGTATGTGATGATTGTCACCTCAGATAATGCGCAGACGGCCCACGTCTTTCCCTACATAGCGTTGCAGTCCATGCTCATCTTCAAACAACCTGAGATTGGTGGTGAAGGTACACGACTCCCATACTTTGGCTGAGGTCCGTTAAAGTAACTGACACGAATATTTAGTGGGCGAGCACAATGACTCGTCAGTCTGGCGTTCAATCGCCGAAGTCCATGCCTGACTTTGCACATAGGACGTTCTTGTATACGGACCCTCCGAGCGCACTCGGTTTCTGGATACCGCTGGAAAAGTGCACGCCCGAGAACGGTGCACTATCTTTCTTGCCCGGGTCGCATCTGACTGCGCCAATCTCCAAACGGTTTGTGCGCGTACCTGGGGGTGGGACCGGCTTCGAGCAGCTACTGGACTCTGCAGAAGTCAAGCAACCACAAGGAGAGTACATCATGGAGTGCACAGATCCAGGTACTCCCACTTCTACCCACTCGCTTGAGAAAGACTGCGCACTGATGAGTGTAATAAGGTGATCTGGTGCTCATTCACGGGAGTGTCTTGCACAAGTCAGAGCGCAATCTATCACAGAAGACGCGATACGCATACACATTCCATATGGTTGAATCCCCGCCTCACGCACGTTATGACGAGAAGAACTGGTTACAACCCACGCTGGAAATGCCGTTCTCGCGCGTCCTCCAGAGCCCGAACCCGACTGTGATCAAGGTGTAACGCAAGATTTAGTGATGAGTGAAGGTATAAGCGATGTGTATTATGCTGTAGTATGTATACGATTATGGGATGAAGTGTGCACGGCAGGATAGCACGATAGCAAAACAGCGAAAGCAATTAGATGTCGACGAGACCGCTCTCTGTCCACGCGTTTGGCTCCTCGAGGTCTTCCAGACTCCAATCCTTCCGTATAGCGACATTGTATTCGTCAGTGTCGCCGACCAGAAACCTGTATAGGGACGCGTATGCGATCATGACGGCGTTATCGGTGCACAGAGCCGGCGGCGGGAACGCCAATATAACTCCCTCTCCAAGAGCATCGCGCAAGCGTGCGCGTAAGTATTGGTTGCTCGCGACACCACCGCTGACAACAACATGCTTGACGATATGACCGCGCTCCTTGCACTGATCAAGCCCCCAGCGGGTCTTGCGTACAAGTTGACCCACTGCCTCTCTTTGGAACTCGCGCGCTAGATCCTTCTGTGTCTCCCCGCTCAAGGCTGCAAGACCGCCTGCTCGCGATATGACCCTATCCACCTGGGTATGCGGGCCAGTAAACGACATGGCGTCGGACTGGCGCGTCATTCCGTGTCTGAACCGCGGCACGGTGGTGTCTTCATTCTCCTGTGGCATTGGCTCGCAGAACGCCTCGAGTGCCGCGCCAGGCCCAAGTGTAGCCCAACCTGGTACACGCAGTGCTCGCGCCACTTTATCAAACGCATTGCCGACGGCTATGTCGAGCGTAGACGCGAGGATCTCGAAACGAAATGGCGACGTTGCGAGCACGAGAAGCGTGTGTCCGCCCGACACGAGCAGTGTGAGGAATGGGAATGCCGGGCGCGATGACGACGGTTCGGTCAGAAGCGCAGTAAGCGCGTGTGCTTGCATGTGGTGAACACCGACCACGGGCTTATTGAGCGCTGCTGCCAGTGTTCGCGCGCCGGCAGCGCCGACTGTGAGGCCGCCCGGCATCCCGGGTCCGCGTGTAAAAGCGACACCGTCGATAGATGACATGTCGAGTCTGGCCTCCGTCAGAGCGCGCTGTACGGCCAAGGGCTGCGATGGACGTGAGCATGGTGTCTGTATGGGAAACGTCGGACGTACTAGGTTCTGCTGGTGGGCACGAGCGGCCTCAAGAGGATAGATACCGCCGTACTGCTCGTGAATCTGGTTCTGCTTTATGACGACATTTGCGAGTATGCGCCTGTCGGAAGTGACGATGGCCGCAGCGGTGTCATCTGCAGAAGATTCTACAGCGAGCACATTGAAGAGCCGAGCACAGACAAGGCTAGGACCGGGAGGCAGATAAGCACGCGGAAGAAGAGCCCTCGATCGAAGAATCCGAGGGGAGAGGCTCAAAGGGGTGATCATGAACGTTGCCGTCAGACACGATGGGGAGGCTGCAGCGCCGGTCGTTGTCCCTGTGTCGAGATCCCGAGTTTGACACGTCTGAGCTCGACGCGCGCAGGGCGAGCCTAGACGTCAACCTTGATTCCAAGTTTGAGTTGGTCAACGTCGACGAGATCGAGATCGCGCCGCGGCCGCAAAACCGACTCGCGCGGCTGCACGACAAGCTTCACCAGACGGTGCACGGACTGCACTCTCGAAACCACGCTCAGCAAGCGCCGGAGATGCCGCAGACTTCGCCGAGCAAGGCAAGTTATCAATCGTACTTGTTTCAATCAAGTTCCCACATTTATATAACATTCCTCCCGCTTCCCTCTTTCAGTTGCGCACGTACAACACCGACCGTTTCGACGGCCTGAACCCCATGCATCGCCTCGGCGGCACCCTCGCCCACTCTCCCGCGGCCAGTTCTCCGTCCCTTGCGCTGAGCTCGACGTCGACGCTCGTGCCATCCTCGACAGCGAATGCGGACAACCCGTGGGGCGCGCTACATGTGCTCGTCCTGCCGCTATTCAACTCGGAGCCACTGCGGGTGCCGATCGAGGACCTGAACTCGCTCGTGCGCAAGCACATCTCGACCGTCGTCTCCAACGCTCCCCAGAAGGCGTTGCTCACGCTCGAGAACGAGACGGCGGATTTATTGGCGGCGGGAATGGACACGATAAACGCCAAATTACAGGGCGTGGTCGAGGAGAAGCTTCTTGCGCGTGTCGTCGAGCTTTGGGGTTTCTTCTGGGATCAGGTCCTTCCCTACGTCGAGGGTGTCTTGCTGCCGCTTCAGACCGATCCGCTGCTATCCAGCCTATACCGGACCCAGAAGTCCCATCGCGGCTCAAGTCCGACGCGTACAAACGGGAAGGGCTCTTTCAGCATGCAGGGATACACTCCCGCACTCTCCACCGCGCACATCGACGTCCGCACGCTAGCTCTCCGCTGTTTCCGTGACCGCATCATACTACCTGTATTCCCTCGCCTCCATGCCCGTATATCTCTCCAGAAGTCCGATGGCGGTCCCGGTGCGAGCCCCGTCGATGGTCACACCTTCCCGCGCCTACAGCAGATGCTCCTTGTTCTTGTCTCACAAGCTCGCCGACCGCCTGCTAGCGTATCTCTCACCGCACCCGCACCCCAACCGCTTCCCGGAGAAGCCGCTGCCGCCCATCTCCTGCGTCTCGTCCGCTCTCCAACATCTCCGTCACCGGCGCTCGCCAAGAGTAACAGTCGTGCGGCCCGTACACTCTCCTTCCTCTCGGGCAATGTCCCACGCGACCGCCGCGGACGCATCGGTCGTCGGCCCCAGAGCCTGAGGCTCGACTCAACTCCAAGTCAGAGTGCGACGGAGGAGAGCGAGGATGACGACGAGGCTGCCGGCGGAGAAACCCCTCGAACGGGCTTCGCCCCTGCTCCGACGCATGCGAAGAGGGTGCGCGACTTGCAGATGTTAGAGTCTCTGCGCAGCCCGGACGCGCCAGACTCGGCAACTACACAACCTGCTGGGAAGGGTGGTGGATGGGGCCTTGACGAGTCGGGATGGGACGATGAGGGACAAGAGGACGAGGACGAGGCTACGATGGACTGGGATCAGGCGCAGGTAAACCTCAACATGCTCATCGTTGACTACTATGAAGCTGACGGGCATATTCTAGGCTGCTGTCGAGAGGATGGTCGGCATCCGCCCTCCCGAGCAATCTGCAGCCCAAACCCGACCCGAGGGTAGGAGAAGGATGACTTGAACGCCCCCATTGCTCTTTCTGCTTTCGCATCTTGCTTTCTTGTATCTGCTGAACTCCACGCACTTGTATTTTTATGTATCGCATCCATGCATTCTTGAATTCCACACCCTCGTGCTGTAAACGCAAGAAATGCTAGTCTGACGTATCGCGCTCACGTGAGTTTTTTCAATTCTCATGGCGTCAGAGCGTAGTCTGACTCCCGTGTCGTTCTCCCAGTAAATCGGTGACGCAGGGATGTCTCAAGTCACTCATGTCCTTTTGAATGCATGCGTGTGCCATCGACTCAATGGCATTTTGTACACAGCCTATGATTCCAGTGCGAGGCCACTGCCCCTAAAGTGTCTTTACACAGGTGCACGGGACGCCGTCTAACCTGCACCGAAGGCGGAGGCTGAGTCTCGACTCTAGCGCCCGCTGATGTCACCGAAGAAGTGCTGGTGGCACGAGAACTTAGCGCTTAGCGACCATGCTCCAATTGATGTATGTATGTGCGGCGTAAAAACGAGGCGCGTGGTTACCAAGAAATCAGGATGATGACGTGTGCACAGTTGCACATCCTCACATCCTCTACTCGACACTCTCTCGAAGCTGCTCTTTTTCACTGCCCAAGCGAGATAGAAGAACCCTAGCGCTGAGGCGAAAGTACCGCGGTGGTAACGTTGACTCTCGTGTAAGTCAACCGCAGTTGCCAACTCCAACAATGGAAGATGACGCGTGACGTAGGTGTTGGTGTGCGCCACAGCTAGCCGACGCGCTCCAGCCCATGCGAACGTTCAACGCTGTGCGCGTCTACTTCGCCCGGTGGCTTGCGTATATAAGCGGCTGTCGGTGCGTTCAACCATTTCCTCACCAATCACCACCTCTATCACTCTTCAACACACCTTACACCGCTTCTACTACCACTACCACCATGTCTCAGGATCTTCACACCACTCGCGTCGCTGCCGGCTACAAGGCCGCGTTGCACAACGACAACGTCTCGGCTGAGGCCAAGGTGAATGCCGCTCGTCGTCTGGAGGAGCTCGGTGGTGGCGCGTCCGACGCATCGCACGGCTCGGAGGACCAGCACGAGAACCGCGTTCTCGGTGGCTACAAGGCCACCCTCTCGAGTCAGTGACTTCTCTTGCTCAGACGTGCTGTTCGCTGACTGACAACGATGCAGATCCCAACACCGGCACCGAAGCCAAGCGTCATGCCGAGGAGGTTCTTCGCGCTGCTGGCGTGGAGAGGACCTCCGACGAAACAGAGGACGAGCACCGCAAGCGCGTGATGGCTGGCTACAAAGCCGCGCTTCACAGTACGTCCGCTCAAGTACCATGACTGAATGAAACCCTGCTGACGAGACGTAATAGATGACCGTGTCAGCGCCGAGGCGAAGGAGCACGCGCGCTCTTTCCTCGCTGAGAACGGAGAGCTTTGACTGAGCCCTCTCGCATTCCTCAGTATTGTTTCTGAGTTATCGGACGTTGCTATCCCGCAGGAGGCCATTGATGAGCTCCTCATGGGATGTGAATGAATGTACTTGTTGAACGTATTGTACGATATCTAGTGACTGTCATAATGGATGAACGCACGCAGTGCTTGATAGCTCGTAATGATGATGACATATCCGGCAGGGGCCACAGGTGCAGGCGATCTCGCGCATCTTCAAGGAATCCTTACCAACGAAGTACTTCGTCATCTGAAGCACTCTTTGTGACTGTCGGAGACTTGAGTCTCACTGTGCAAGGCGAAGGCCATGAACTCTGGGATACAAAGTCATCAGCATCAAGCGATTCCTGGAGTTGTTCTTGTAAGGGTCAAACAGTATCTGCTAATGAATGTCTTTATATCAGAGTCAGATATCGAGATAGTCGTTCTTCCCCGTTTATGTGCTCTTGTACCAGGCATCCGTGACAAAGAGAGTACATGGAATACGTTCGTAAGGAGGGGTTGATGGTATGAATGTAGGGTATTAATAGCCTTATTGATGTACAGTAGATCCCGCATCTCTTTGAATGATATTATGCAATTCGGCGCCCATCGCTGGCACAGAAGACATATTATGGAGGACTTCAGTGCATCCTGATGAAGCCGAAAGCAGAGGTGGTGGTCAAAACGAAAGCTCGGTGCAGCGCGCGTCGCGCGTCCGGGCGCGCAGTTGAACCACAAGCTGGCACAGACCACCACGAGCAGATTCTAGTCTCTAGTCTTGGACACTACTCTCAACGCGTGCGGCTGTAAGGGAGAGTCTATCTCACTTGAAAGATGACGGGTACGCGGCTTTGAATGGGAAAGCAGATAGTGTCCTAAGTATTCACCTAGCAGATTACGCCGTATTCGCCTCGCCCGACTTTGAGGCCAATGACTATGCCAACGCGGTACTTGCCGGCGAACCCTACCCACCACAGCCCGGCGCAACTAAGACAAATAAGACCCATGGGCCCGAACCTGCAGCGGAGGACATTTCAATTGCATTGGGAAAGCTGGATACGGGCATCGAGGACGTGTCGAAGCAGATCAAGAACGTCGTGCGTGTTACTCATCGGCGCCTGACCTGCTCCCGCGCCGACGCGACTTACAGCCTTTCAGGTCACTGTGCATCATGAGGGCTTGCTAGTACAGGCAGCCAGTCTAGGCGACCTTGAGAGCTCATTCGGATCCGTGCGGACTGGTTTGGATGAGCTAGATACTTCATTGGACAAGTGTGTACATATTCGTGGTGTATTCGAGACGCGTAGCTGATTTGTATAGGTTACGACTCAAGATACGCGTCCCTTACCAGTCTATGCAGGCGAATGTGGCACGTTTGCAACGATTGCAACTCGTAGCGGATGTCCTGCGACGCACGTCACGCTTCGTCGTACTTGCGAAGCGTCTACAAGGTCAAATGATCGACTTGGGGGACGAGGGTCGGGCATCGACACCGAAGATAGATGGGAAACCCAACGGCTCGATCAGTGGACGGAGAAGCGCAACACCGGGGCTGGAGATTGAGGGCGAGAAGGAGAGGACGCTGGCGCAGGCTGCGCTTAGCGTGGCTGAACTCAGTGCGCTATGCCTCTACACACAGACTGGCCCTTTGTGCTGATGGTGCCACTCATAGACGACCTCCTGGAGACTACATTGGAGGGTCTACCTTCGTCAGACCCCGATGCCGACCTGTCGAGTAGTCGAATATCACTACACTCCGTCAGCGCAGTTGCATCATATGTGCCTTTCATCGAAAGCGCGCGAACGAGAGTCACCTCCGACATGGAGCAAATGGTCATGACAGGCTTAGCGGAGACGGTGCGTATTGGTTCGTGGAGTGTGATATATATCCTAACCCTGTTTACCTAGAACCGATCTCTGCTCGCATCATCACTACAAACAGCCCATAATCTCCGCGTGCTGCCCGACCTCGTACAAAATCTCGTTGCGGATCTATCTACTGCCGTGGAGAGCAGGATCAAGTCCGCCTTTGATGTATCTCGTATATCCAAGGAGCTGCTCGCGAAAGATACCGCGCCCCCATCGACAGGTGTAGCATACAAGTCACGTATACGCACAGAGCCAACCAGTCTCACTGCGCCACAATGGACCAATGCGCTCTGGGCAAGACTGGCCTCCCTTATCGAGGACATGACTGGCGCGTGCATTAAGGTAGCTCACTTCGACCCCTCCACCTGAGACTGCAGTCTAATATGATGCAGGTCTATATTCTCGAGAAGGTGCTAAAGCTCAAGAAGGACCCGGTCTCTCAGATCGTCTTTTTGGACGAAGCTATGAAGGTCCTCGAGGATAGGCCCAGCACGACTTACTGGGCCGCGCTCCACCGCTCCCTTGAAAAGCAATGTCGAGAAGGCGCAAAGAGTGCGTATATACGCTTGTACGACATCACGCGTAGCTCACTCACGATCAGACTCGACGTTCCTCCAACAGACCCTCAGCGCAGGCTACCCCCGTCTCCTCCGCCTCTTCCACGAGTTCTTCTCCAAAATCGCTGTACACACCGATACGGTCTACACGCCCGAACACCAAAGCGGCGAGACGGTGCTCATCCTCCGCGCCCTATCCAGCTTCGAGAAGCTGTACTTGGCCCGTGTATCCCAACGGCTGAACGAAGCCGTCGGGCAGGCGTTCGCCGGCGGTGTACGGAATCCGCCGGGTATGACGGAGGGCACGAACGTAGCGCGTACGATGGCGAATGAGCTCGACTCGGCCAAGTTTGATCCGTTACTTGTGCGGTCCGTTGCCCGGTCCATCAAGACGTCGCTCGAAGTCTTCCATACGCGACTCGACGCCCTCGTCTCTCGGGATCGACAGGCAACGTCGCTCGTGGGTCCTTCGGCATCTCCTCAGCTCGCTGAAAATGCGCTTGTGGCGACGAGCGCGTACACGGCCTGGGCACGCCTGCGCAAGATTGAAGATGAGTATCCTGAGGCTGTTTGCGTGATCCTTCGGCCATCCATCGCAGAGCTTCGTGCGTTGGTGGACCGCATCGTCGACCCACTCCTCGCGGCCATGAAGCGCGAACTCGGTGCCACAGTCGCTAGAATACACACGGCTACCCCACCGGTAGAGATGGGCGCTTCCTCCGCCTACGTGCAAGAGATCGTCGAAAAGCTCAACTTCATCAAGCGCGAGGTCTTTTCTCGATTCAGGGTGGAAGACGCGAGCCGCGAGTGGACGATCAGTCTCGCGAGGTTCGTCATGAAGGTGTTCGTGCTGCATTCAAGCATCGTCAAGCCCCTGGACGAGATGAGAAAGCTGGCGCTGACGAACGACATGACGGAGATTGAGTTTGCGTTGAGCGCGTTTATTGGGGATGGGCCGAATGGGAGGAGGGGCCAGACATTGGAGGTTGTTGGGGATGATTACAGAACCCTACGCGCAATGCGGTACGTTCACTTCCTTATTCACTATGTGGCGATCGGCATGCTGAGTAAGATCGGGTAGACCATTACTATTCCTGGACAACGAATCCCTCGCTCAACCTACACGCACCAAGGGCCTGCCACCACTCATAGTCCTGCACCACATCCTTGTTCGCTCGCCGATCAGCCTGCCACATACGTTACACGGCTGGCTCGAGGCAGAGTACGTGCGCTGGTTGGAAGAGCATAGTGAGGAAGAGGCGTTGACGCTTATTGATGGTGGATTGGCGAGATGGGAGACTGTCACGGAAAGCGAAGGAGAAGATACGGAGGCCGCGTTGGAGTATGTTCAGCTTGCGAGAGCCGTACTGGCGAATGCTAGAGACACGTAGATGCTGGCCATGGCTTTGATGATTGGACGATTCCATGTAACATGGCTCTATACCGATCCACAAAGGCCTATATGGGCGCTAAACTTGAGAGGTTCATTTTGATACGGAGCGCTCGCGCTGATCCACGTATCGGCTGCTCGCCGAATGTTTACCATGACGAAGCCTGCCGGGATCCATGTGCTCTGTGCTAGCACTGCACGCAAGGCGCTAAAAAGCGTAAATCACGACGATCTCATGCACCCGGTTTCGCCGCCGCTGCAGCAGGTTGGGGTTCGGAGATGGTGCAGGGTCGCATATCAGCGTCTACATATGATGCTGACATGGGGCGCAGTCGCTGGCAATGCGAAAAGACGTACTATATACGTGTGGTACGGCGTAAGGTGTAAGGAAGATGCTATACCGGTCTATCTGGGCCGCACTGGCCTTGCAGAGGCGCCGTGGACCGTAGTACAGGCCGCCGGGTCTCTGAGGTCCACAGACGATGATCGCTCGTAGGGGACCATCCCAGCATCTAGCCTCAGCAGACTCGACCCTCTCAGTCTGTTATCTGAGCTGTTTTTTGAGCTCTAAAACAGGGTTCAAGCGTTAATTGTCCGAGCACAGAGTACGAAGCGCGAGCAATAGCGAAGTCGAACGTGTTCGCGCAAGGAGAAGCAGACGTGGCATAGTCGAAGCCTAACTCGAGCCAATGCATGGACGAACGGTGGGTGGCATGAAGCGCTCACGAACCACTAGAGCGAGACTTCGCCAGGTACACCCGCCGTTAGCCCGCCCGAGCGCTGGGGTGAGACGTGAACTGTCTGCCAAAACGACTGAGACAATATAGAGTACATTGACACAGTCTCGGACGAAGACAGGCCCGCACGGGACGCCGTACGGCGTTCGAGAGCGCGGCCGCCCGCTAACAGCGAGCCTGGCCTTGCAGACTCTCTAGAGTGGGTCTATACAGCCCGCGCGCCGCTGCCGTTGGCGGACGAGAGATGGATGGAAGCGCGATAGTGAAAGTTGCACACGCTCTCGATCTGATGCAGTCGGCGAAGACGTGTACAGTATGCCAGGCGTGGGCACGCTCGGGCGAGAAGAGGTAAGGACAAGAGAAAACAAGAGCTCTTGAGCAAGTTCGAGGCGATTGCCGAAGGTTTGCCTCGGCCCTGGGTGTCCGTGGAAGGTCTATGCGGAACGTCGTACTAGTACTACGCAGAAAGAGTGGGAAAAGATATGGGCCCCATGCGGCCGAGCGGTAAGTAGGTATACCATGACGACGTGCCGGACCCGATATGGGGCGAGAGCGCTGTGTTCGGCGGATGGCCTTCGGGTCTTGGTCGATAATCAATCCGGTCCTGACGCTTTCTCTCTCTCACTGCAAGGCATATGCGCCGTGCGAGGGCGATGACGGACAGGATCCGGTGACTCGGAGCAAAACGTGTACGAGAAGTGTAGTGATCATTGTGGTAGTGAGGGTTCAAGCGACCGTCGCGGGATGCAAAAGAAAATGAAATAATTGTGGGTGGTGGTGGTTTGAGGAAAAGGCAAGGCACGGTTATGAGGAGATGACGGGGGCAATGGCCACTGGGAGGAAATGGAGTCCGGGTCTGGGCCCCTCGTTGAGAGTTGGCGCATTAGGCTGTACACTTCTCGTTGACATCTCTTCTTCCTCTCCTCCTCCCTCCACCATCACCATCACCCGCAAATAATGCTCAAAGTCGAGCAGGCCCCGCCGCCGGGCCACGAGCGCAAACACTCGCTCGCCGATCTCTCACGGAATGCGTCCGTCATCTCCACTGGCTCGTCCGACTCTGCGCCAGAGCCCCTCCTGCTCACCCCCCCGCGCCGGCCTCGCCCCATCCGCACCTTCTCCTCCCCACGCTCCCAGTCCCCCTCGGGCCCCACAACGCCCAGGACAACGCGTCCGCCGGCGTACATGACCAGGGAACTCGGACTCTCGCCCGATGAGCCGACGCCATCGGCCCCGCTTCTGCTGCAACCCCAACACGAGACTCGCTCAAACCACGAGCGAAGACAGCGCGCGAGCTCAAAGAGCAAGTCGCGCCCTGGCTCTGTCGCTCGTCCGAGCAGAGACGACTTTGAATTCGGAGACATCCTCGGCGAAGGCTCCTACTCGACCGTGCGCTGCCTTCTTGCTCTTCCGTACTCATTGGGGTGCTGACCCTCGATTCTGATCAGGTAATCCATGTAACACACAAGGAATCCGGACGAGAGTACGCCTGCAAGGTCCTCGACAAGCAGCATCTCAAACGCCACAACAAACTCCAGACCGCCATCGCAGAGAAGAACACGCTCGTTCGACTCACTTCCGGTCCTCCCGCCCCGAATAGCGGCAGTGGCCAGAGCGGTCATCCTGGCATCGTCAGATTGCACTACGCTTTCCAGGACGAGTGGAGCTTGTGTAAGTTTCCATCGCTACCGTCTAATGGGCGCTCTCTCGTTACTGAACACCACCCGCAGTTTTCGTCATCGACCTCGCCCGCAATGGCGAGCTTCAATCTCGAATATCTCGCATGGGCTCCCTTTCAACCACATGTGCGCGTTATTATGCCGCACAGGTTGTCGATGCGTTGGATTACATGCACCAGCGAGGCGTGATCCATCGGTGAGCGTGTCCCGTCCATCTCAACCGTGCTGTAACGCTCAACTCGGCCGCAGCGATTTGAAACCAGAGAATTTGTTACTCGACGATGCCTGGCGCATCAAGGTGACTGATTTCGGTACCGGCAAGCTCATCGACATTACTGGTCCGTTCACCTCACTTTGTGCGCGTGCTTGATGCTCATACCACCCGCAGCCGAGCATTCAACAAAGACATTTGTCGGCACGGCGCAGTACGTATCTCCGGAACTCCTCGAGGCCAACGAGACCAGCAAAAGGTGCGTAAAACCTCTCGTGACCCTGCATGAGGAGGAGCCCCACATTCCTGACGATTTGCGCGTTTCATAGCTCGGACTTGTGGGCTCTCGGATGCGTGCTTTACCAGATGATCGCCGGACGCTTCGCCTTCCAGGGTCTCTCCGAATACCTTACTTGGCAGAAAATCAAGCAGCTAGAGTATTCGTTTCCAGAGGGCTTCGACGAGCAAGGCAAGGACCTCGTGCGCCGCCTCCTCGTGCGTGTCCCACTCCTAGTCCCGCATTCCATCACGTTTTCCCATATACTTACGTTTGTGTGTAACACAGGTCCGGGACCCGCTACAGCGCTTAGGCGCCGGTCCACCCGGCAGCGACCTCGATATGAATGCGCTGCGAGCGCACCCTTTCTTCGCTCCGATCAATTGGTCGACATTATGGACGGACCCCGCACCGCCACTCGAGACCGGCTTAGTTCGGAGGGAGGTGCCGACACCCGGACAGGGTGATTGGGACGATGTTGGGCAGGCGTGGGATGATCTCGTAGGCGAGAGTTCGGACGAGGGGAGCACGCCAGGGCAACACGGCGATGGCATGGCATGGGCACCGGATGCGGAGGGCGCGGAGTATGCGCTGTTCGGCAAGTCACGGGCCGCGTACGAGGTTGGTTATGTGCCACCCGAGGACGTAGGCCCAAGAGGAGAGCTGCCGGATTATGCCCGCGAGCGCTTGGAGAAGCCGACGGAAGCGCCGCCTACGCCCGCTGTTGTATCAAGTCCGGGGGCTGGCGGCCCATCGACGCCCATGGACGGCCATACCATCACCGTCGTGCAGGGTAACGGCGATATCCAGTTCAAGCTCCCCAGTCGGAACTCGGAGCAGACACCGCGGAGCAGCAATACGACTGTGGTGCCCCTCGCGCAGCCGAGCGGGAGCGGGAACGGGAATGAAGACAGCAATGGCAATAGCGCGGTGGACACGGAGTCGATCAGTACTGTGTCGGCTGGTACGGGCACAGATGGGTCACCTGATCGCGAGTCGGTTGTGGGGAATGGCACGGGCACCGCACCCGTCAATGTGCCAGGACCGCGGAGCCGTCGCGATACCTACGCCACGAGCAGCTCGGACGGTTCGCCGGTCGACAAACTCGGGCCGTTCGACACGATGAAGCTGCGTGGGCGTAATCGGACGAGGAGCCCTATAGGGGGCTCCAATAACCACTCGGAGCCCCGGCCGCCGCTCGAGCCTGACTGGTACGCCACTCTTTTTGCATAGGGTTATATTTGCATTCATGTGCTCATGCGAATCTACAGGTCATCCGCTCTCGCACCTGGAGAGACTATTCTGTTGACAGGAGAGGTGGAGGAGACGGTGATGAAGCGGCGGACCTCGCGGTTGCTATTGCCTATACCCGTCACACCCCGGCGGCCGAAAGTGCGGCAGCTCGTGCTGAGTTCGCATCGTCTGTTGTGCTTGAAGCAGACGAAGAGCGGGAGGGGGATTGGTGTGAAGTCGGAGTATGGGCTGAGGCCCAGTGAGAAAGAAAAGGAAAAGGACAGGCAGAAGGAGGAGAGGATCATGGTCACGGAGGTCGCGCAGAAGGGCGAGCGCGGTTTCGTGCTCTTCACGACGAGCAAGAACGCGTTCTTCCTCGCCCAAGATCAGACTGCGGCGGAGAACTGGGTGCTGAAGATTAGCGAGGCTTTGAAGATGCACGAGCAGCAGGCGCGCGAGCGCAAGCCGTCGAATGCTAACGCACGGACATGACTCCCAGCCGAGCGTCGTCCCCCTCCCCCTCCGACGACGCAACCCGTTACCCACTTCTTAGCCCCGTTCCCTCGCTACTGACCTCTCGCACTGCGTACCCTCCTGCATCTCACTATCTTCTGCACATCGCATCGATCATCCTTCTGCTACCCCGCACATCCCCGATCTCGGCCCACGCATCCCCTTTCTACGTTACTCCCGCCCACGCCTATTGCCGGACTTCATCTCAGCGCATCCTGTCTACCCTCATCCTGCTCCCGTTCTGCTACGTTATTCGCCGGTCACTCTCACACATCGACAATTCAAAGGAAGAAGTTCAATTCGCCGTCGCGTACGATATTTTGGCTACTTTGGTTTTTGTGCTTCCTCGAGGCACTTGTATCACCTCCACTGGTTTTATCTCTCTCTCTGTCATCCAAACACGGTTTTATACTCTCCTCGTCACCCATCCCATCATCGTTCATATTCATTGTTCATTTGCTTTACCGCCTGCCGCCCGCAATCACAGTCGCACCCGTCCTTTGCTATACCGCACAGTTTTTACCCATTCGGTTTCTATGTCGACGCCCTGCGGACGCTTATTCTAGTTCATTACTCTCACTTCGTGTTAGTACCAGTTACTCATTGTTCAAAGCATGTGTTATACTACTATCAACCATCTCGAAACGAGTAAGGGGGGCCAATCAGCAGAACGAACTGCGTTGGGCGTCCATGAACTGGACAATGCGACAGTTGAGCATGACGTCACGCGTACACGTCAGAGAACAACCGAGTTTGTACAGGATGCGCAACTTGTAACCGACGTCGACCATCTATGCCTTCTGCCTTCTTTGAAGCTTTTCAGTCCTCGATTCCCGTCACATAGAAGACAAGCTGCATGAGTATGAGCGACCCTTCGTATGTCTTATCCGTCCTCGTGGTGCACGCGTACGCGTAGCATATGAGCTGACACCACAGACAGTGAACATGAAAGCGCGTGGTTCCCCGAAATCACCCGCCGCCTGGTCGAGTTGAACGCATCAACGATAACGGGGCGACAGAAAGGCACCGGCTTCGAATCCGAGCTCGACCACGAGATACACTCTTTGGAGCATGCAACTATACAGCTCAAGAGACTACGAAACGCGCAGAGACCGCTCTTGCGCCTTCCGCCAGAAGTCCTCGGAGCCATCACGGAATACCTCCTTGACGAATGGCCTGCGTTTGAACGTCCACGCGAAGATGACGATGAAGCCATCGCCGAGGACAGCGACGTAGACGTAGACGACTATGTCTATCAACCGAAGAATACCGTTAAACGACTCCTTCTCGGCTGGATTCTTCTCACTCACGCCTGCCATACACTTCGTGAACTGCTCCTAAGCAGGCATGCCTTTTGGGCCAGGATAGTCACTCAGAGCGAGAAAGGTCGGGATACTATCCTCGCACGCTGCGGAGAGACACCTCTCGACCTCACGGTGGATAGCCCACGGTTTTATGCTCTCAATCTTGCGCGGCAAGCCCTCGAGTTCATCTTCAAACACCTCGATCGAGCTCACACCATCCGTGTAAACACAAGCGCGCAGGATAGCGTCGCCTTCTTTGATCCGGCCAAACTATTACAGAACTCGATGCCACACCTCACAAGCCTATATATCTCGCTCACGCACAACTTCAAACGCATCCCACTGCTCAGTCCCGAAGTACTCGAGCTACCGACGCTCGACGCCCCACGACTTACACGCCTACAACTTACCAACTTCCTTCTTCCCTTCGTGCCGAACGGCCTAGTCAAACTCACGCTTCGATTCCATCATCGCTTTGACTCAATATCCACCGAATACTTCCTGGACGTCCTACATCGCTCAGAACGACTAGAGTCGCTCACTGTCGAGCACTGCCTGCCACTCCTCCCTGCTGCCGAGCCCACTTCTCCTCCATTACTCCCGAGACTTCAAGCCGCCAACTTCACCGATGCGCCGCGTCAGGTCATTTCCGCTTGGCTCTACATCCGTGCGCATCGGCCCTCTGTCTGCTTCGTCCTGGAACTCGATGAAGGTTTCAAACGCCCTTCTCCCGACGACCCACCCGTCCCAGCGCCTTTGCAAGGCAACATCGATGGCACCATCGCAGGCCTGTCCATCCATGACAGAGACCACACATACTCGTATGGGTGCCACGACTACTGGGAAGACGGCATTGACGGCATAGAGGAGTACGATCTCTCATTCTTTGCTTCTCAAGAAGGTGCTACCTTGCGTGACTGGCGCTACGGACGAGGCGACGATATGTTCAGATCGGGCTTCAAGCGGCGTCTTACAACGAGCTTCAAACGCGCGACCAAAACTACGCCCTTTGCCGTGATGAACGTCCTCACAAGCGTCATCGACTTTAGCGCACTTACGACTCTGTCGTTGCACACAGGAGCTCTTAACCCACCTACCGCCCAGTGGATCGATGTCTTACGACCGATGGCCCAACTTCACACCATGTTCCTTCGCTCGGGGACCAAGTCCGTCACAAAAGCTCTGACACCGTCACCGTCAGACGAGCCCATCCTTCCTCGTCTTCGCCTCCTCTGGATTCACGCGCTGGTGTTAATCAAAGGACCCACAACTGAGAGTGTTCCCCACGACGGTCTCGCAACCTACACTCGTACGTTTCAAGCGCGGACCAAACACGGAGTACCTCTCCAACACCTTCGCATCGACCGGCTGCAGATGGAGAAGGAGATTGGCTGAGGACGTTTTCCTTCCACGCATGAGGGTTCTGGTCCCTGTCGTTGAGTGCTCGGACATCACACCGCTGAAGGGTGCGATCCGCATCGGTACGTTCTTTCCCCTCGCTCACGCATGGAGTGATGCTGAAGAATAGTAGGCGCCATCCACCACCACTTGACGCATTATTCGTCACATTCGGCTATGTCTGCAGACGACGATGAGGATGAGTAGACTAGCACGCGTGGCACGCGTATTTGATCTGGTCCGTAGATCTAGTGCTCCCAGTAAAGTACGTGCGGGGTGCGCACTCGCGTCTGTACTGTATGATTATCACGTTAGCACAAAACATAGCACGAATGAGACGGTCTCCTCGAATGTAGCTATCAACCAAGTGTAAGATTCAGCCTCCGGGGCTTTGAATGATCCTGGGACATCACGGCGCGGGCCATCCGAGAGTAGCCGAGTAGACGGTGACGGCCTCTTGCTTCCAACCATCATCGCCGCGCGCTCTGGTGCATTCGTAATCGTCGTCATTCAATGGATAGTGCTGTGTATGTTCGTATATCTCGCATGATAATTCACAATCTGATCTCTGGCCATTCAAGCCAAAAGAGCAATTGGTTTCCCGACGTCGCTCGCCGCGTAGTCGAGTTGACCGCATCGATACTCCCTAGGGATGTCGACTTTCAGTCGGAGTTGCAGAGAGAAACCCTGTTTCTCGAGCATGCGATCACGCAGCTCAAGCGAGTGCAGAATGCGCAACGGCCGCTCGTCCGTCTGCCTCCCGAAGTATTGGTCATGATAACCGAGATCCTCACCGACGAGTGGCCCGCTTTTGGTCCCGCGCACCATCGCATTGTGGACTCCGACTCCGACTCAGAGGAGGAAGAGAGGATAACTGCTCGGAACGATACATCATCAGATAAACGGCAGTACCTTGGGTGGATACTGTTCGGGCACGTCTGTAGCTCACTCCGCAACACACTTCTTGGCCGCCCGGTCTTCTGGGCAAAGGTAGTCTCCAAGAATCTACGAGCGCGGGAGACTATTCTACAACGTTGCGGAGAGACCCCTCTTCACCTGATAGCGAATACCGGTTATAACGCCACGCGATATCAGTCGGAGCTCGACTTCATCTCTAAGCACATGCCGCGTGCGCACACCATTGACGTAGAATTGATCGCGTCAAGTGCGGTCAACAACGTATTCAGCCCAGCAATCCTGGCCCAGAGGGCGATGCCCCACTTGGTCAAACTGAGAGTTCGATCTCGCAGTGATGAGACTTCCATTCTGATTGCACGAGATACGTTGGACCTCCCGGCATTTGAAGCACCTCATCTCAGGGATCTGAGCTTTGAGAATGTCATGGTACCCTTCCCGACCTCGAATCTGGTCCATCTTCAAATAACATTTTCCTCTCGATACGCCGGCCATCTGCCTTCCGAATACATCGCTGACCTAACGGAACACCTGAATGCGCTCGAGACACTGAGCCTGGGACGCTGCCTATCGATTATGACACCCGCCCACCCCGCGAAGCAGCCACGATTACCTCGCCTTTCCTTCGTCACGCTCAAAGATCAGGCGGCGCCAGCAAAGAGTGTCTGGGTGTACCTCCGCGCTCTTCGCCCATCCGCTTGCTTCACGATTGATATCACATTCAATCCAGCACGCGACAGGCATGGAGATGCAGTTCCGATATCCCTCCAAGGATCTATCGACGCGGATGTTGCTGGCTTATGTATATTCACTCACGGGGACCCACCGCTCGAGCCTGCGTATTGGGATGAAGAGCCGCCTGAGAGTGGCGACGACAGGGATGACGAGTATCATATATCCTTCTTCGCGCCAAGAAATGGCGCCGTCTTGCACGACTATCGCGCCAAACGAGGTGAAGACGTATTCCGGACTAATTTCGATCGGAGGCTCGAGGTCATCTTCGATTGTCTCGAGGATGAGCTACCATGTGATGTTGTCAACGGCCTTGCACCGTCCCTTGACTTTGGCGCTATAACAACCCTCTCCTTGTCGATCGACGGCCTCAATGACCCTAAAGAGTGGTCTAGAACGTTACGACCGTTCGTGAACGTAGAGACTCTGGTTCTGAAGCGAGGATACAAAGCGATTGTCCTCGCTCTTACACCATCATTCGGCGAAACTGGCATCAACCCTTTGCTCCCTCGTCTGCGGTTCCTCTGGATCTCCCGGCTGACATTTCGAGCGGCGCAAACTGCGCAATCGGACGGCATTACTGCTTACGCCAGTATGCTCGAATGGCGCACTCAAGATGGTGCGGCACTACAACATCTTCGTGTCGATGCGCTCCATATGGACAAAAGTCTGGCCAAGGAGGTCTTCGTGCCGCGTATGGAGTCCCTCGTGCCACGCGTGGAGTGCACAATCGCCATCAAGCATCCACGGCGAGGACCAGTCACAGGTACGTATAGTAATGGTCTATTCTTTATGGGTGAATAGCTCAGTCTTTTATAGCTGCGGCCTCACTAAGCTTGGCCCAAGCTCTGTTTCAATCGGATAGTTCGGAGTCGAGCTCGTCGGAGTCGAACTCGTCGGAGTTGGACTCATCGGAGTCGGGGTCAAGCTCTTCGGAATCGGATAGCGAATAGTTTGATACGTGTCGCTTTGCTATTACCACGCTATCTATGAACTACTGTGATGTTACTTCGAATCGTGACTTTGTTAGAGTGTTTGGCGGCTCGCATACTCAAGATACGGGCGCGATCTACGCAGAATTCGGAGAGGAAGTTTACACTTCTCGTCGATGAATGTGCCGGTTGCTGTGGGATGACTCTATGCGCTACTTAAAAGCGAGGGGCGCACCAAGCGTCCTATGAATTTCCCGACTGAGAGCGACGAGAAGCCCCGAATCATTCGGACTCCGGCCCGGGCAACAGATGACAACCCACGGTAAGTACAGACGAGGGGGCGGTGCTGCTACCTCGTCTTCGCGCACTATCGCTGTCCCATCTGTTGTTCGATGACGACGTCAACGGGAATCTATTACAAGGCATATTGTCCTACACGCGAATGGCTTGGAGGAGAGCGCAGCGCGACGCTGGCCTAGAGCGCTTGTATATTGGATTCCTTGGAATGAGCACTGAGATGGGCAGTATCGTATTTATGCGCCGCATGGAGAGCTTGGTGCCTCATGTGGAGTGCAACTATGTTGCACGCGTCCCCAGCATCAATCGCAGTGAGTAGACTCACCCTATGCAAATCGCGCACACATCGAGTTGACCTCATAATCAGTCAGACGCAACCATGTGCAGCACGTTGCAGGGACCGCGGATGGAGGAGTTGACAGCGACGTTTCAGATGAAACCCATGGAGATCTATCCTCTACATGAGGAAAGTTTGGGGCGAGGCGACGAAGGTTGAATCACTAGAACGCTAGCATGTATAACTTGAATAGTCTGCCGTATGCCACGTATATACGCGAGATTTTGTGGAGCCCACGGAATGAGACGATGAATGCGATAGCATACGAATTAGCCAGGAGGAAGCAAGCTGGCGTCAATTGGTCCAGAGGCATCCTCCACCACATCGTCCTCGCCGGCGCGGGGGATAGGGGTACGAGGCATGGCCATAAGACCTGTACGTAATGCGTCAATAGGTATCCAAACTCTCTCTGAGATGCTCATACCTGTCCGCGCGGACTCGATCAAGCCGAAAGGCTTGAGCAACGCGAGGAACGCTTCGACACGGCTCGTCTTGCCGGACATCTCCACGATGACCGAGTTCTCTGAGACGTCCACAAGACGAGCATTGAACTGGCGGGACAGGGCATCAATGCTTTGCAGGTGCTGATGCCTGAGACGCAGAGCCTCCGAAGGGGTGAGAGGTGGCGGCGAGTTGGGTGTAGGGACTTCGGCTTGTGGCGCGGCGTCGGTGGTTTCGGAGCTGGCCTCCGTCGCCGACTGCTCAAAGTGACGAGCAAGGGCCATTTCGCGCTCGAGCTTGCTTTGATGCTCAGCGTGTTCAGCATTTGCGCGAACAGGATCGTGGGAGGGTCCGCCGGATAGCTGATCCTCGAGATACTCCGGACCAAGGATGGAAACCTTCGCGAGCAGTAGCTCGCGCTCGATGGTGCGCGTCTCCGTGTAGTCCAGCACTGCCCATACGGGAACAAGGTCCTCGAGCTGTCTTCTTGCCTGCTCAACGACGCCATCTTGACCGGAGAGCACAATGCACATGCGCGAAAGGTCGCGAATCTCGGTGCGACACACGACGAGCGAGTCGATGTTGAAGCCACGGCCGGCCAGAATACCGGATACGCGTGAGAGCACTCCAGGCTCGTTTTGTACGAGACAGTTCAGCACGTGCCTATCATTTAGGGTCAGAGTCGGAACAGACGGTATAGAGATGGCGCCACATACTTTTTGAACGGCTGCAGACTTGGTGGAGGCGTATTGTAAAGAATGTTCGTGACGGCCTCCTCCGCAGAACGCGAGCGCGGTAAGTCCATCTTCGGCAGCGGCGGTGGGCGCACACGGTGGGTACTCTTGTAGTCCAGAGCGCTGGTCGAGTCCTCGATGGGACGAGGCGGCTTGGGCGGTTCGTCCGACTGCAGCACACGTCGCGAAGTCGACAGCAGGCGGGCCGGTGTACGGCCCCATGTAGGCGGTGCGCGCACGGCACGCAGAGCAAAGGCAGCAGACATGACGGACAGAGGAGAGCCGCAGTAACAGAGCTGCAGTATTTCTACGATATGAACGCACGAGTCAAACGGGCTCAAAGCCAATAAACGCGGTCGGATAGCGGTCCGAAGAGAGAAAAGCCGTCCGCCTTCGGCCGAAGTTTGAACAACGTTCCCCGCGTGATTGACGCCGATCTCCCATCTTATCCAACGCCACCACGATGTCTACAGCTAAAGCTCCTGGTCCTATCCCGAGATATGTGTACAAGATTTTAGAATCTACACCTCCCTCACCTATACCAGACGACATGCCTCTCAGCGGTCTTGATCGTACCGACGGCTTCATCCACTTATCTACCGGCTGGAGGGTTCCCATCACTGCGGGGATGTACTTCAAAGACTCGAAGATCCTTGGGCTCCTGCGCCTCGACGGGGATGCAGCGCGTGCAGAGAATGCGCGACTCGAGTGGGCTGACCCTGGTTGCGTCCACATGTTCGCCCAAGAAGATGGGAAGTGGGCGCGGATGGGCGCTGGCATTGTTGTCGACGCGAAAGAGTTTGTCCGGGAGGACGGCAAAACGTGGGAGGACGTGTTGACGAAGGAGGCCGAAAATGGATGGCTTCACGACTAAGCAAATCGGCTGTGAGTCGAAGTATATATCGCTAGCGTACGCTGAGTTGATCGTGTACTAAAGTACATTGTTTTGCCGCAAATACAGGAAGCGCGTTTACGAAGTTGAGACAAATAGTTCAAATTGCAGGAGAGCCAGTCCTGTTATGTAGTCCATATACGAAGTCATGACCCATGATGTTCCAAGTACGCCTCGATCCGCGATTCTTCAAGCCGAGGCGCCTGCGGGGAAGAACTCTCCTTCCACCTGGCAAATAGTGCCGTCTTCCGGCAGCGACGCGTCGACAAAGTATCTAGCTACGATGGATGCGGTACAGTTAGACGTCGCAGACGTGGAAGTATGCTGTGAGAAAAAGTCAAATACAGGTGATAGAGGTCATATGAGTGACTCACGCCAGTAGAGTTTTGGGTCAAGAGGGCCGATCCGGGAAAGAGTGCAGACGTGGCGACCGCTCCAACATGTGGCGTTGCAGGGTCTGCATCCGATATGAGTGCATGCAAGTAGGCATAATTTGTGGTCGCACCGATGGTATTTGCAACGAACAGAATTGGTGCGCTAGTGTTGCCCCCGAGGGAGCTGGGTGATGGAACTCGACTGGAAGTACCTACAGGCCAAGACCTAGAAGACCTGTCAGTAGTTGACACTGGTCAATGGACATGAGTACATACTGGCAACGCAGAGCGAGACCGAAGTACACCTCAGCATATTCGCTGACGCCCGCAGCGGTGTCGAACTGGCTTTGCCATTCAGACACGCTGTAGTTTTGTACCGGCGCGTCATTGCATCCCACAGTAAGCAGAGCGTCGATACCATTGTCTGGGTTTGTCGAGTTGGCGCAGTCGCATGAGAAGGTGCTTGTAGTACCAGCGAACTCGAAGAATGCTGTGCCGTTTCCTTGCTGAAGAAGAGCGAGTCCCTGTGCAAGGAACGGGAAATATTGGTACGGGAAGTACACGACATCGCGAATGATGCCCCTCAGCATCCCGTAATCGACGAAACCGAAGGATGCTTCATTGATAAGGACAGGAATGGGCGCTTCTTTCAACTGCTCGTAAAGGGCGTCGAGATTTGCGGATATCTGCTTCGCAGACGAGTCGTAGAACGCGCACAGATCTGGTCCCGCCTCGTAGCAAGCTTGAAAGAAGACATTGACAGCCTTGTCGGTGTCGAGAAGATTGGCAGTCACGTTGCCTTAACTGGATGTGAGTACAGCCGTTACAGAAGACCCATGAGTATAACGACACTAACCTGCGTAGTATTCCTGCGCGTCAAGAACACCATCCAAAACCATACGCTCAATGCTGTCGGGATATAAAGACGCTACCGTCGCACCGAGCACCGTTCCATAGCTGCCAATCGTTAGACGTAGTTGTTTTAGAGAAAGATCAGCTGTAACTTACGAGAAACCATAGTAGCTCAGCTTATCTCGCCCGTGAGCCCGGACGATCTGCATCATATCCTCTGCCGTATATGGCGTGTTGATAAAGGGCAGGTAGTCCGCGCCAGATTGGCCGTAGACCGCGTTACTAACCTCCGCCTTTGCAAGCGTGAGACCGACATTGCCGGGGATACTGAGCGGGGGCAGAGCGCCAAAAAGTGTCTCCTCTCCCCAGATAGCAGCCTGGAGTTGTGATGGTATGCGTTGTGCTTGAGGCGTCGAGCGACCCACACCTTCCATGTGCCATGAGCTGACCCATGCACATAGGGAGAGAAGACAGAATGTACACACCACGAGGATCGAAACCAACCAGGTCATAGACATCGCCCACGAGCTCCAGAAGCTGTTGAGCAGTCTCAGTCAGGACAGTCTCGATGCCACTGTAGGCATCCTGTCAGATTCCCGACCGCTTCGCATAGGATGATGCAAATACAACGTACCTTGCACCAGGACCTCCTGGATTGATGAGCAGGGGCCCACGGTAAGCATCTGACCCATTCAGGCCATACGGTGAAGGTATCCGGATCAATGCGATGGCTGCTGTCGCACTGCTATTGGATACATTGTACCAGTCAAGAGGAACCTGCCAGGTTCAATTTTTTTTTTTTTTTTTTTTTTT